ATTTTCCAGAAATATCTTTGTTTCCTGAAAGTCCACCAATTCTAACTATTCACAGTTTATTCTACGGGTCTACAAGGCCCGCACTACTCGCCTTTTTAACATGTCTTTCGACAGTCCTTATTACCTTTCTTCATCTTCATCCGGCGGTTCTGAAACCAGATTTTAATTTGTCTCTCAGTCAGATTAAGAACTCTTGCTACTTCGTATCTACGGTCGCGGGGGAGATACATGTTAAACAGAAACTCCTTCTCCAGTTCGAGAATCTGATACTTAGAGTATGGACAGCGCTTTTTTCTGGTGGATTTTGCATGAAGCCAGTTGGAGGATGGGTCATCTGAAAGAGGGTTCGATAAAAAAAAACAGCGAGACAGAGCTCATGAGAAAGAGTGTTTTCCACAAGAGTCAGAATGGTATTACAAACTGTGGATGACGAACAACCGCAGACAAGGTCTTGCTGAAATAGCCAACATGCAGTAGTTGATCCAATCAGCCGTTTATGTGCTCGTTTCGGCCTTCTGACCCTACTACACTCCCAATGTAGGATGAGGCAAAGTATCCATGAACTGTAGTTGTTCTGCTAGACTAGAGATAGCCTAAACCTATGATCTCGTTAGATGAATGCCTCTTTTTAAGATCTGCAGAAATATTAGCTGACCAAGCCTCTTCTTGTATTCATATTCATGACCATAAGAGCATGAATGATGTCTACTACTGTAGCAAAGTTCATCATTTTAAGGCCTAGTCTACTGCCCACAACAGTGGGAAATGAACTGGTATAGTGTTGTCTATCATAATCCAAATAGCAAAATCGTGGTTTCTCACAGTAAAAACTGAGTCGAGGGGAGGGGAGGACATTTTGCCACTGTGGGGCAGCTGCTTTGGTCCAATATAATCCAAATAGCAAAATCATATTATCTTTCACAGTAGGCTACAAACTGGGTCGAGGAGGGGAGGGTATTTTGCTGCTGTCGGTCAGTGGTACTGCTTTGGCGCAATATGGATCCATTCGTTATCAAATAATGGATACAATAATTCGACGTGAACTCAACCTTTACAGCAGGCCTATATTATATATGAATAATTGATTAACAACAGCCTCTCACCTTATATTTCTAGATTCCTGCTTAATTCAACATTCACTAATATCAAAGATCGAGACACATATGAGATCATGATCACCATGACGCACGAAGCCAAATGAAAGATGCCGTGCTTACTTGTGTCGATCTCCCTCTCCCTCTTTTCCTCTACGGTTGATGTGCTGCTCTCTTCGTTGGGTTTGGAGAAAATGGCATCACACCCGATCGTATCCTTCTCTGCGAGGAACGGTCCGTTGTCAATGTCGGACACAAGAGGTGTGTGCGTTTCCAGCGTTGTGCAGTCCCCATTCCCTATCAGCGGCTCGGGTTTGATATCATAGTGCATATTTGACGATAATCCCGTTAAACATATCGACGTAGAAACCGGTTCCAACGTCCAGGAACGCATATACATCCCATCGGTATCTCCTGTTGGACAATGGTGGTGTAAATAGGGCTGGTGTGTTATAGATGCGCTGCTCGGAGGCTGATGAGCAGAAATGGGATTCCAAGACGCGCTGAAAATAGAAGATTTCGTCTGCAAAGGGCAAGATTCCTGACCGCCATATTCAGTCAGCATCGGCTGGCTCGCATGTTCCAGCCCTGGTCTGCTTGAGTATGTGGGTGCCATAATATCCCCTTGGTCTGGGGGAAGGTGCGAGTCTGCATAGTAACTCAGCGTGCCTAATGTCGACATGACAACAAATACACACAGCAAAACGCTACTAAACTTCCACTGTCATATATTTAGAAAAACTGGATCATGATACTACTTCTTCGCTGCACCAAGAACCACCACATTCGTTCAATAAATTGAACCTTGGCCGGGATTGGATTGGGTGGCCGCAGACACGTGACCGTGGGACAGAACAATAAATAATAAATCAGTCTACTCAACTAGCTAAATGGTCACCATTTTCCTCCGTCATATTTGTAATAGCAAAGCCATATGCCGATATAATTTTATACAAGTAGTAAGGTTTATGATTTTTGTTGTGAAAAGAGACTTTAACTTTGATATGTTTTATGTAGGTCTACAAAGTATGGGAGTATAGCATATTTTCTAGCCTCCTTAAAAAAGAAAGGAATGCAGCAATGTGGTAAGGAGCTATATCTACATTGTGGCATGTAGTCGTTTATATGCGCAGAATAAGACCTATTCATTTGCTGCTAAGAACTCTCACCACCGATCTAAAATTTGGAATTGGATAGATTGAATTTATTCAACAAAGAATCCCGTATCTATCAACATAATTCAGTCCATTATTGCCTATAGGCCTCCCTATAAGGGCAAAAACTCCGAGGTTATTCCAAAGACTTTATAGCATTAGATTGGTGATATCGTTATATAGGCTACTTATTAAATATGATGCAGCAATATTATTTGGCCAATACATACCCACATTTAAAAATAGTAGGCCTGTGAGTTAACAGGCCTACGTAGTATGTGTAGTGTAAATGTGAGTGTGAGTTTTGACATTTTCCATATTAATCATATTTGCCATTTGATGTATTCATAATACAGCCATAGGAAATCGTTTTCATTGTTATTAGGCTATTGCACGTGTTATTCAAACCAGATATTTCGATTATTATCATCCGGAGTAATGCTCTTCAAAAGGCTCGAGATTATTCGATTATACGTGCAGTAAAATAAGGATAACCAAAACAGCAACTATTTTAGTGATACTGTCTCCGTTGCTCTGGGATATGAACATTTAAATTCCGTGTAAAATGTTATAAATGTAGGCCCGTGTGGCCCCTTTAGGCTAAACACACCAAGGGCCGGTTTCCCGGACACAGATTGAACCATAGTCCTGGACTAAAAATAATGTTCAATAGAGAATCTCCAATGAAGAATTTCCATTGAAAGTGCTTTTTAGTCATTTTTATTTAATTTTACATTTATAGTGTGTATTATTACATTCCAACGAATGAATTTGATCTTACTTACCAAATGATTGTCCCAAATCGATACGACAAAGTTGACCTAATCTAATGTATACCTCACATAGGCTATTATTTGATAGTAAGACTAGGACTATTATTTTTATTTAAGACTGCAAAACACAGGCCTATACAACAATTTACACAATATGTGTACACAAGGAACACGCTATGTGTATTCTACCATCGAATTAGTGTCCAGAAATAAAGATACAATACGTCCACATAGTAGCATCAACAAATCCAAGTTTCAATAGATTGTGGGGAAAGATCCCGTTGCGTTAGTGTGTAAAACCATAGCGGCCCCTTACTATTTATGGACCAATGAGTGAACACTAGGAGTGTCTGCCCGGCGCTTTTAGCCATCAAACTGGGGAGAGAGAAAAAACGATAGGTACTATAACAGTATTTTTTATTACGGGGGTCTATTTAGTTGTTTTTCTTTAGGTTACAACCTGGCTGTCTGGACTAAATATAGCCAATAAAATCCATCCTTTGTGTCAATTGTGTGGCTCAGCAGACGCATCCGGCACTTCGAATGCGTGCCACTGGGAACGCGGCAGCAGCGCACGAGGCATTGGCCAGACTGCAATGATCATAACCGAGGCCTTGCAGTCCTTCCTCTGCCTCAAGCCAACTCGCGCTCTCTCTGTCTGAGACATACAGGCTAAAGGCCCGCCTCTATTGCTCCTCTTTTGTTGTTGTTTTGAATAGATATAGCGAATATGTGAGGAACAAAATGTCCCTTGCAGCCATGATTGTTTTTGTTCGTTTTTTCTTTTTGTTATATGCATCAGACCCGGCGCCAGGATAAAGTGACTTAAGGGGGTAAGGGGGCAGTTGAAATCGGGGAAGGGGCTGCATTTTGGGGGTTCTTGCATTGGAATTATATCGAATTCTGCTTATATCACGTTATACCACAATAAACATAAAGTTCAAATGCAGAGATGCTTTTGAAGTGACAGGTAGGCGCGAAATCTGCAGCATGGCTCCGCTGCGCTGTTTGCATACTTATAATAGCCTAATGTCGACATGAGAGACAATACATTTCTGCAGACACATTACATAAATAAATGCATCCGAATTGTTATAGAATATTCTACACACGTCTAGGCTACTCAGTAAATGTAGCCTACTTCCTTCAGGGCACAGCTCTGGTGCCAGAGACAATTTTGAGTGTTTCTGTGAAGCGCCGAGTTTTACTGAGGCAATTAAGACAGTTTCGTGTTGTGGGGGAAAATACAGCCCAACAACACGAAACTACCTAAACCCCTCAACAGCCCTCTCTCCTCCTAGAGAAATAGATATAGGCTACAAGCATTTTCTGGACGCATTCATTCCGTTTGCACAACTGGAACATATACAGTCAGAATCATAGGGATCCTATAATTCACTGTGATTCTATATGTAATTGTAATTAGTTGGTCAAAATTCTAGCATTTCTCAATGTTTACACTTCTTTTACGCATAGCACACCATTTGCACACCTGAAAAGATACAGCCAAAATAGTGTGTCTTATTGCGTGCACATTTCACAACGCTCCAAAGGTCGACAGACTTTGTGTCCTTTCATAGGAAGCATATGATGATGAACCAAACTACCGCCAGTGATGTCCTTGAGAAAATAATGTTGTTTTCCGGGTCATTTTGGCACCATCTATCCAGTACACCCTGCAGTAAACAATAGCTATCCCGACGGAATCTCTTTGACCATAAAACTTCACAATGGCCATTTCATTTGTATCTATTTGGCCAGGATAGTCCACTCAGTAACAAATGCCACTGTTTTCCAGGGAGTCCTAGACAACAAGGCAGTGCTTGCGTCATGGCTCAGGCAATGATTCATATTGAAATGAAGGGCATTAGTATCACAGAAAAGAGGGAACTGATGTTCTTTTTTTTCTTTCTTTTTTACTGTAAAGCCAACCCGCATCTGAAAAATGGAAGCTCGTGGAATAAAGAGGGCAGTCCCGCCCCCCGGCAATTCCTATCTTGGGTATGAAAGATTACATTCTATACAGGAAACATGATCTGTGGACTAAAGCATGCTAATGCAAGGTAAAAACGTGCCATGTTTTTATTGACTTACTTAGTGAGGCCGACACACATATCAATGAATTTCACAGTATAGTCTCTCTATAGACAAAGCAATGAGAATATGGGCAATATTATTAAAACGGTCGGCGAGAACAATAAAATCATGAAGACAAATATGAGAAGGCAAACTGTAAACAATATTTACAAGTCTCAGATACATTTCGTGTGTATAAATAAAACCCTTAACAAAATAGTTATTGTGTGATGCTTTTAGTATAATGGCTATCATACCAGCAAAATGTGCAGATATTAAATATCAAACCACTCAAGGCTCTTTAGCCATGACGTAACGTAGGCCTATATTGCTACAGGTTACAACATTTCCCCAAGAGCTATTCCAGCATGCACAGATGTCAATGCGTCACTCAAGGTGGCTATATACATGTATTATGTTATGTACAACGAATGCCGATATTGTGCAGCTCTGAAACACTTAAGTCGTTCCATATCTATATTAACTGTTGCTCTATACATAAACGGAGCAACCATATCTTTTGACAGTATAAATACATAACCACGACAAACAAAACAGAGACGTATATAGGTACAACGTCAAAAAAACGACATATCAATAAGTTAGCTATAGTAGGCTATCCTACACGGTCATATTCACACAACAAGGGTTTCTCGAAGGAAGGCGCCCTTGCCATTGATGAAGGAGGGCGCCAAATACGGCACGAATGTCTCACGAAAAACTGAAGTTGTTCGATAGCTCCCGATAGCTCCTGTTTTCACGACTCATTTTTTTCAGTTTCATTCTTCGGTTTTGGAACCAGATTTTGACTTGCCTGTCTGTCAGGTGGACGCTGCGGCTGATCTCCAGGCGACGCTCACGAGTCAAGTACATATTGAAGAGAAATTCTTTCTCGAGCTCAAGAGTCTGGTGCTTGGTGTAGGGACAACGCTTTTTCCGGCCACTCTTCGCTGTCAGCCAGTTAGCCTTGGTTTCAGATTTTCCATCTCCTGTAGAAAGGGAAATGAAAGAGAAATTACTACTGCTACTGCACTGATGTAACTTTAAAATGCCAGTGTATATTCTTCCAACTGGTTTTGTATTTAAATACTGTATGAAATAAACACGTTATTTATCAAAAACGGTGCATTTGTTATGAAAAACATTATGCGTAATTCGTGCGTAATGCACTTTCCAAGTTACTTTGGCCTAATGTAACCTCGTTGAATTCGTGAGTAAATATTGCACGACCATGCTAACGGAGGTAGACAGCCTTTTAAAATAATTGTTGCCCAAATGTAATTATTGTACACAGAAATAATGTATTCCCCAATTCCATAACATGTTTGCATCTATAGACAAACACCTATCCTATCAAAAAAACATTTAGTTGTCTAAAATTATCTTTGAATAGCCATCCTGGATCCATGAGTTTATTTGACAGTAATACGAAGTTAATGTACACACACACACACACACACAATGCACGTTGTATGCACATATTTAGCGTCTATCCAAAAACCTAAGCCATTACATCCACGTTGTGCTCAATATCCACTTAATTCTATGTCAATGTAATAATACGCCTTTATTAAGACAAAAGAAACTCATAGTCTGCTGAAATTATGGCTGCATTTGATGGTTTATGGGGACGCCTGAGGACATCGACGCGTTGTATTGGACACATGTACTGGACTGGACTTGCTGCTCCTCGTCAGAAAATCATTTAAAAAACTGGAGGAAATCCCAGCTCATGGCGACTCTGTCAAACCCAACAAAGATATGCCTTTACCACTGCGCATATAACCCACATATGGGGAAGTTTTAATGTCCACAATATAATCGATATAGCAGTAGGATATGCCTCTAAAAACCAAGGTTAACGCCAAGGCACATCTACACTGACTCGGGGGCATTGACACTCCCTCCGTGTACACCCATCAAGAGCCCATTGTCATAAAGTCATATTTGGGATTTAGAGTAGTACTCACCTTTAACGGGTTTGTCTGGACTTTCTGCACAGCTCTCGGTGGGTTCGGGGGAGGACAAACCATCCGCAGACGATGTCCGGGTGTCCTCATCTCTTGGCGGGGCTGGAGCACATGGTGGTGGGTCAGGCGGTGCTTCACTCTCCCTCCTGTCTGTATCCACCACCGGGGTAGCCGATGGTGGTGAGGTGTCGAAACGGGCCGGACGTTGGAGAGCGAAGTGAGTCGGCTGTGGGTTCGGCTGAACGTCTTGATAAAGCTTTGAAGAGGTATATGTCTGAGACAGGCGGAAGTAACCGGGAACAGGCACGGTGCTGTTTGTAACCTGGCATGAAATGTCGTCCCTCGTTGTTGACCTTTTTGGACACTTCTCCGATTCATACAGGCAATACGCATTCTCCTCTTTGATGCTCGGAGAGAATGAACAATGAGCAATTTGCTGCTGGTTGTTCGGCTGATCTACTTGACAAGATCTCGAGGTCTCTAGCCATGTTTCCATCCCTTGAATATGGGAATATGGGCCAGATGAGGGTACCGTAGTTTGAGAATTGCTCTCGTTGCGTTTACTGAGCCCCGAGAAAAAAGTGCCGTTGGGTAGTCCATAGGAGTACTCCGAGCCTGGTGGCAAATACACGCTGTTACTTTGGTAATAGGAGGCACCGCTCTCGGTTCTTCCGTGGATTAAGGAGTCCACTAAAAACGAATTTCCACTTTGGTTGTCAGAGCGTGACATCGTTGGGGTATAATTTGACGGAGGATGAGGATAGCCCTTTCTGGCTGACATTTCTTGTGCAAAACATGCTGAATATTATTACTGATACTCACACTTCTCTGCGCTTTAGCTGACAGCCAATTAAAACACAAGTAAGAGAGACTCCTCCCATTCAAGGCACGTAATGGCACGTAATGCCAGTTTCCAATATTAATTTTGTTTAAAGGTTTAATAGAATAAATGAAAAAGTCAAGGTAAGTGGTGTATTAAAGGCTTTCAGTTCAACCTAAACTGGTGGATAGATAGTATAGGTGATATGAAATGTGCTGCATTACCTTTTACGATAATCTGTGTTGTAAACATTGACCTCATGCACCCACTCACACACACACACACACACACACACACACACACGAGGCAGAGAGAGGGGAAGATATGATCATACACAAATAACTATTTACATGTGAAGGGACAGTGCAAATAACTGCAGATGTCTTCAGACGTTGAAAACATTTTAGTGGAAAGCTAGTTACACTTTTCTCTCCAAGAAGCGTCAAAACATTGCTCTGTTCAAGTTCACAGAACATTGTGACAAAATGTTTAATATACAATTAGTTAATGTCCCTTATTTAGAAGTGTGAATGTGAGCTATTTAGCTACCAATTAGAGATAATTTTACATGCGCAAACAATAATCAACAGCCTTGAAAATCTAAAGGCTACTAGGCCTACATGAAGCAAGAGTAAAGAATCCAGTGTAGGCTATCTGTTACAACAAAATTAGTTTTCCACTTTGTTGCTGGTTAAGTCAGAAACAAAATAGGCTGTGGCAAAGATTGTTTACCTATCTTGTTAACATAATGGGAAATACAGTCGAAAATAAAAACGTTACAAACACCTTATTTATCAAAGACGTGCATTTGTTATGAAAAACGTTGTGCGTAATTTGTGCGTAATGCATTTTACAAGTGTAAGCTCGTCACGTTTAGATGATTTTATACACCAGCAGAGCCAATTTCTGTGGGATCCCTCTTATTTCCTTAAGAATCTAATTGAAAACAATATCCTCAGACTCATATCCCCAAATTGTATAGAAATAGATTAGGCCTACGTAAATCATAACAATAGGACTAGATGTATTATGTGGTTCTAACCACTGCCTTTCTAAATACATTCCTCCCTTATTCCCCCATGCAGTTGGGAAAAACATAATCCTTGCTATGTTTGTTACTATAATTACCACGGTTATATTACGTTATTGTTCTGACACCAAAAACACTATATGGTGCGACTTATTTTAGTTTTTATCCGATTTAGATTATTTTTTTTTTTAATGAATGGCCCAAGCCATTCATTTGAGTGCGTACTAGTCTCATGGTGTGCGTATAATAATTTCAACAGCCTATTTATTTGCCTCTAGCCTGTGGTATATTAAGTTATTATTAAGTTATTATCATACTTAAAATCATTGTATGCATGTCTCCTTATAGCTGCTAATAAAATCATGTTAACAATGTTTCCTCTGTTCCAAGTTATTCTTGCAACGGGACAAAAAATATGCCTGCGCCCCTCGTGCATAATGTGGCACTTTACTACATCCGCTAACAGCTATTTTATTTTTCACTGGAGACTAAAAAGCCCTCTGGTAGGCTATTCCCCTTCCCTTTCTCACCTCCCCAACACACACACACAAACCAAACACATTTTATAATCTAACGTTTGTATTTGGTAAACTATGGTAATAATGACTCAAATAAGAACCATTCGAATAGGTTGTGTTATTTTTTCCAGAAAAACGCCATAGACATCTCTAGACAGGATGAGGCCTATGTTTAAAGCTATTTGCCGTTTAGCATATTGGTTATATTGAGATGTATACTGTATAAAATAACCACAAGCTATTCTGTGCTGTGAAACGGTAGGTAGGTCTATTCAGTTGTCCTCTTCCACACGGAATACATTGGTCCTTTCCAGCCAGCCGGTCTCCAACTGTACTAATATTATAGATCCAATAATGTGTATTTGAGCTATATACCAGTTTTAGAAATTATTTTGTAGCAGGATGGAAATGCTAATTACAAAAACGCCTCACTTTATCCCATTTTACCAAGAAAAAATAGACCACACAAGTATTTTTCTCCCATTTCGAGCAGTTTGAAATATATTTAGATGAAAATAAGATAATATTTAACAATAATACACACATAGGGATAATTACCTGAACAATGAAACCATGTAATGTAATGAGTCTGTGGATCTTTGGATGTTTGATGCATGGGAAGAAGAGTCTCGGCCAGAGTTAGTTTCCGTCAACATCCACGGCATTGATCCATGACATTGATCGGAGCAGCGCCCCCCAGTGGAACAAACAACCACGTTCGAACTGCAGATTCCATCCTGAATATATTCCTGCCGGTGCACGCTGAGCTGCTGAGACAAATGAAGCCGGAGAAGTCCGCGAACACAACCTTTCACTGCTCCCAGGCGGCAGCCGTTGTTTTTAAAGCCCTTAGTCACAGTTAATAACCTTGGTCTCAGACGGTTTATTGCACTACACTCCAATCGTACAAATGCTCCAGACGAAGACGCGTTTTATGGCCAAGTTGCTGCAGCAACAGGGAGGATGTACAGGCCAGGATGAACAGTCCAAAGACCATCACGCGTACTGGCTGCAGCAGGCCATCTACACCAGCTTATTGCTGCTATCCCTCTTAATTGGTGTTTTCACTAGCCCACTATTCATGAACGCCCATAGGCTTTGAACTATAATACATTAACCGAAATATTGGCAAACATCAGCCAATTTTACACATACGCCTAATACACAATCAGTAGGCCTAATATTAGAATTTGCCAATATAATAAAACAACAACTGATCAAGTTTTTTATTTTTATGTAGGCCTACCTTAAGTATTTTACTTTATTTATTTAAGGTAGGCTATACATTCTCTTTTATAGGCCTAGTCTTATTTTTGAAACTATACACTTAAACGCGGGCCATTTAAACTCCAGACGTTGATTCTATATAAAAGTCCTCTCGTGATGGATGGTTTAGCATGGTACATAAAGTTGAATAAAATAACGTGATAGACAACCTTTTGGGTGGAAGTTCCGTAATGGATATTTAACGTTAATTGCAGAGGATCGCATTTCGGCCCATGGGGGCAATGTAAAGTCAAATACATCATACATCTGATATGACCCACGCAGCCAGGTTTTATGTCGAGAATCATACAAGGAGATATTTTCTCGAGACATATAGACCCATTCATCCAATTTAGAAAATAAACTAAGAAAACAAATGGAAAGGTCTCGACCTGTGACTCGTATGTCTCCAATAGGGTGTGTGAAATAGGCTAAGCCTATATAGGGCCTAATCATTCCAAACAACATCGTAGGCTGTTTACACAGAGGAACATTTGAATAGGCTAAAAAATGAAGACAAATAACTAAAATGTCCCACAAATAGGCTATTTCGGCTCAATATATTGTAGCAGCTTTTCTCTTGCCACAAACAAAGGCAACTGGCTGACATGTTCCGACATTGAGAACTTAAACAAAACGAACACTTTCAAGTATCAGGGTTGATTGAACAATTTTACAATATAACCTTTGTATGTCGAATATTTCACGAGAACAAAAACTATGGCAATCAATGCATAAATAACAGGCCTATATTCAACTATAGGCTAGTTCTTCTGTGCGTGTGTAATGGCGACAACAAACAACCAACAAAGTTTGGGATAAATCATGCCTTCTCGTCATGGAAAAGGTATTTCCCCTTTGTAAGTGCATATATAATAAATGTAAAGATACAGGTTGTTAAATATGGTACACAGTTAAATGTCAAATTTGACATGAAATAGGCGCGCGTATGCATTACGCATTGATGGCAATTAAATAATTTGCTCGAAAATATGACTTTTACGCAAGTTAGGATTCGACCAAATATATTTTCTGTTTTGGTGGCACCACACTTCGTAACAACAAATAGCAAGATCAAATGATCAATACGGTGAACAAGAAAAACACCTAAAATGAAAATAGGCCAATAGGTCTAATAATAATAATAATAAAAATAATAATGATCATTATAATAAAACAGTAGGTATTACTCCCAAAAAATTAAGTGTGGCGGACAAAGAAATCTACAAATGTCCGTCCATCACAGGAGGGGTGTAATCAGGAATTTGCAGACAGTAACGAACTTGAAATTAGCGATTGAGCTTCATGCATGCCTTGTCTGAGGGAAAGACGAAATCCATCAGTCAGTGTTACAGCATAGGGTTCGTTGTATAATACTGCAAACGGTCTCTGTTCAGTTTCTTCTCTTTCATCCTCCTGTTTTGAAACCAGATTTTAACTTGACGGTCGGTGAGATTGAGCATCCTCGAAAGTTGAAGACGTTTCTCCTTGTTGATGTAAACACTGAAAAAGAACTCCCTCTCCAGTTCTCTGATTTGGTATTTGGTGTATGGACATCTCTTCTTACGCGTTTTCTGTCCACCTGAAAAGAAGAATTGCAATTCAGATAGAAACTGGATAAATAGTTTTGGCCAGGTTTTGCTTTTAATAAGCTTAAATCCCAACATTTCTATGCATATTTAGGGTACATTATGCAACATAATCATGACATTTCTTAGAGTTCAGTATATGGAAATGATGGGTGGTAAAAATCAATAGCCCTAATAATAACACCTCTCGACAACATCAAACACGAGCCCTCACAAAAGGAACATCATTACAAAAACGCAGTGGTAAACGCTTTCTAGTGTATACTAGCCTAATGTATTATACTGTGTATGCTGTGCTTTCTACACATTTTCTATGTAATGTGAATGTTTTTATAGATTTTGTGGATCCCAGGACTCCCTGGAAAACAGTGCCGCACTGGGCAAAAACTGGTTGAATCAACGTTGTTTCCACGTCATTTCAACAACAAAAAATGTAATATGATGACGTTGAATCAACGTGGAAAACTGATTGGATTTGCAAAAAGTCATCAATGTAAGGGAATTCCATATTTTTTTTCATCCAACTTCTAACCTAAATCCAATGACATGGTGAATTGTTTTGTTGCTTTCATGTTGATTTCACGTTAGTTGACAACTCAACCAAATGTAAATCAAAACTAGACGTTGAAATAACGTCTGTGCACAGTGGGTGGCAATTGTTATTGAGTGGACTATCCTCCTGGCTAAATAAATAAATGAATCAATGAAATCAATGAAATGTTAAATTATTTACTTTATCACCTTATACTATATCTCTAAGATTATATTAATATAATAACAATATACCAAACAGGTTATAGGGGGACCCATGCAGCACAAAAACAGAGAAACACGATTCAATTCGTCCCTGAGTTATAATGTATGAAGATATAATTTTGCAATAAATCTATAAATTCATTAAGTTCTCGTTGCAGTCGTTTGAAACGTTATGAAAAGTAAGCCAAGCTATGCGTCTATAAACTAGAACAACTAATAGGCCTACAAATATGCTCGAATATTTTAGAGGGGGAAATGCTCTGTCTTTCACAGCCAATTTCAGTCCCAAGCACGTGATCTTTTCGTTTATAACAACGTTTTTGTTGGGGTAGATCTACAGCCCCTCAATAAACCTTATGCGCTTATAAAACAGCATATAAACGCCTTAACAGCAGCGCGTTAGATTGCAAACTTTCTCACAGAACTGGTGCGCGTCGTCTTTATACTCACGGCTGCAGCTATATTTCTCCTCATTGTTGCCGGAAGAAGACACCGGGCTGCAGCTCTCCTGGCGCGGCGGTCTCTCCTCTGTATCCCGGCACTTATCGGAGCCGGTCACCGGAACTGTAGGTAGTTTGGTGGCAGTTCTGTCCACGGAATGTTCGTTTGTTGGTGTGGTGTCTACGCTTCCGTGGGCAGTATCGAAAAACTGATCAAAGGCTTGTGGTAGCACTCCATTCCTGCTCACACTGCCATGGAGACTGGATATGGGATTGGAGGTGCTGGAGTGATAGACATCACTGTAGTTATTTTTCGTGAATATTTCCCCCAAGGAAGTCGAGCTTGATAAACAGTCCCTATGCACCGTGTCCTCAGTGGGGTAGCAGTGTGACATACCGCCCCTATGGTGGTGCCATTTACTGGAGCTAGCAATGCCATGATAGTCCCTGAAAGCTACCTCTCTGACAGACGGAAGCTGTGGCAGAGTTGAGGATGGGTAGGAATATGTCATGGGACTAGAAGACTGACTCTGGTGAGACAAAAAAGGAGGGAGGCTTGAGAAGTCTGATCCGGAGATGTAATAGGTGCAGCTGCCGGGCAAATACATATTAGACCCAACTGGGACCCGCTCATCAAAATCCATAATGATTCGATCTTGCGTAGCCTGTAGCCTACTCTAATAGCCTACCATCCCTTCCTTCGCATCGTTCCTCTGTGCTGCTAGGCTCCAGTCACTTTGAAGCAGATCCGTTGAGCAACAAATTCTAAGACGTGAAGCTGACGTGCAGTTTGTTCTCCATCCATTCCGTACCTGAGAGCGCCAGTCATGTGACCAGGGGCAGAACTGGACAGATATGTCTGTTCAACTGATGCGTGGCAATGAGTGCATGCGTTTCTTAATTAAAGTGTGTGATATTAAATAATTTCCCGAATTTATAAGTAACCATACCAAAGAACGTATTAGTATGATTTGAAACACATTTGAAGTCACGGTAAATCAAGGCCTTGATGCAGCATGTGCGAATAACCTTTGTTATTAACGATCAATTTTTTGTTTTTATTAATACTTTTAGAATATATTTTTCATGTGTTATATTCTCACATCTTTATCTCTGGGACATACATTGATCACTATGGCGCATATGCTGTTGTATGGACACATAAAGGCATTGTAAAGTGTATGGGTAAAATATAATTAAACCAGAACAACACAGAACATTCTATTTGTAATAAAAGGCTCTGGATCAACCCATTTCCACAACCACTATGCCTTTTCCACTAATGTATTACGCAAGTATTAATATTAGCCTACAGCATGTGGGCTAAGGCTACAAGAAGAAAATGGTATTATACAGAAGCCCATCTCAATCTAGCGCTATATCAATATATTTGTAGGCATTTCCATTTGTAACAGTAATGGTTAGGCGTTATGCAAATTCAGAATCAGTTTCCGTTTATATTTCCTATTAGGCCTATCCGAGGTTAGAATTGTCAATTGTTGCCAAAACAGACCAAAATAATTTGTCGTCCTAACCCGCTGCACCAAATTGGCTAAACAATTTGGTTCAGGGCCGAAGCATAGCAAGACTAGTGTCAGATTACAATACTGTTGTGGGGCACTCTAAAAATGAATTTTGTGTCGTGCGTCCAACATTACAGGAAATGGGACATCTCTTGGATATTCTAATAAACATATAGCCCACAATAAAATATGGCTTAAACTAAACTATTGCACATAGTGAGAGCACGATAAATGAATGGAATGGCAGCATACACGCGCCTAATGCATTCTCTTTCCTATCACCTGCATCTCTGGACACGTTTTGTGCTGACATTAGGGTTTTAAAATGCAACAATAGAGTTCAGGGTATATAGCACCAACCAACAAAATCAGCTCGAGTCAGACATGTTTTAAAGCACTTTGCCGTTGGCTGTGTCGTTGCCATTGTCAGAACAGACATGTGGGGACTGCTGCGGCCGGAATGCTCACCAGACGACTAGCTGGCATTCATGAAGTTCAATGAAACGAGACTCAAAACAAGGCTCCGGGTGAGTACTTAGGCCTGTGCGTAAAATGGAGACTGTAATGTCTTGGAATGCATGTAATATAGGCCTATAGGCTACGAAATATTGAACGATTAAATGGTTCGTTAAAGAATATAACTTTATAGCAAAAGCCTAATGTTTTTATTCTCTGTAAGCATGCCTCGAGGCCCTTAGGCTAACTATATATGCTAAAGTATGTCGTTTGTTGTATTCTATAGGATAACACATGGTAACATATAGCCCATCTATCAGATTGCACCGTCAGTCTCTTTTTGCGTGCTGCAGAACTCAAGTTCGGGGAAGGGAAAGGGTCATTATTTGTGAGAAAGGGGTCACAAACACCCCTGCCCCGTGCCCCGGATGAAGTTCATTCGTGTATAACCGTGACACATTTCTCGTTAACGGTTAATTCGCGTTAACTGTTTGATAGGCCTAATGCAGGGTTTCCCAAACTCGGTCCCGGGTTTGGGAAACCCTGCCCTATTGGACAGGTCACTAGCCGAAATACTTCAAAATTCTTTGTGTATTGAGAAACGATTGTCTTTTTATAACCATATGTTAAAATGTTGTAAATAATATATCCCAATTTGTTATCACAAATTTGTCATCATGATGAAAATCTGGCAATCATTTCGGTAGATAGGCCTATAGCCTACCAATGAAACCAGATAGGCCTATAGCCTACCAATGAAACCAGATAGGCCTATAGCCTACCAATTAAACCATATAGGCCTATAGCCTACCAATGAAACCAGATAGGCCTATAGCCTACCAATGAAACCAGATAGGCCTATAGCCTACCAATGAAACCAGATAGGCCTATAGCCTACCAATGAAACCAGATAGGCCTATAGCCTACCAATGAAACCAGATAGGCCTATAGCCTACCAATGAAACCAGATAGGCCTATAGCCTACCAATTAAACCAGATAGGCCTATAGCCTACCAATGAAACCAGATAGGCCTATAGCCTACCAATGAAACCAGATAGGCCTATAGCCTACCAATGAAACCAGATAGGCCTATAGCCTACCAATGAAACCAGATAGGCCTATAGCCTACCAATTAAACCAGATAGGCCTATAGCCTACCAATTAAACCATATAAGTAGTGCAAGTAGGCATAATTTGCAATATATAGCCTACATTTAACATAATCTTTAGAATCCGTAATCTGATATTTTAGAGCAGAATATATCCAAATATTGAAACATTAAACATAAAAACGTGAGAATTGGCTCTATCGTCCATTATTATTGGCTGTTAAGGCTGCTTTGAAACGCCTATAAATTCGAATTAAACGTTGTCAACAAATAAAATAGGCTGTTAAACTTTACTTTTGAAAAATAAATGACATGAAACATAAAGCTATTTCATACGAGTTGTTTGTTTGACCTTTTTTGTTGTTCAGATTTAACATGGCTGATCAACAAATGGGTGTAGTCACTTTCAAGATGAACACATATACTCCAGCAAGCTCATCAATACGCCTAAGATATTGGTGAATTTTTAAAAACTTTTGCAATGATTTGACATGTTTAACTAAATTATGGTGTTTTCGATGACTTTTCCAATCTAGCCGAATGAAATAAGCCTATACCCATAGCCAAGAATGCATGGAATGGTCTCGTTAAGAACTCGTCAACATGTGAGAGGCAGGTGTAATAGAAAAAGTGGTAACTTAGTTATGTAGCTTACACGCTCCATTGCCACTGATTTTAAATAGAAAACATTTGTACTTTACTACTCTCTTTGGGTGTGAGACATTTTTCCACTGGCGCGCTCTCATATTTATGCCATTTAGATGTTATTTTCTGTATAGGCGCTATAGGCCTTACTAACTTTAACGAGCATTTCTTCAGGCTGGGGTGGGGGGAGTTTAGTCTATATTTCTACGACCCAAGTGCCTTGCACTTGGAAATGTGGAACGTCACAGCTTAATGTCTCTCTATACTACCTCTTTACAGTAGATGAGATGGGTGGCGGGAAGATTACAGCTTTAAATCTGTCTCTATACTGCCTCTTTAGGTGAGACGGCTGGCAGCAGGAGAAGCAGAGCACAGAGGAGAAGAGAAGAGGCTGATAGACCTAATCTCATCTCTAAAGGCATCATGATAAAGGAAGACGTACGGCAAGAGATGCTTATATGGAAGATATACGGCAAGAGATGCTTATATGGAAGATATACGGCAAGAGATGCTTATATGGAAGATATACGGCAAGATATACTTATATGGAAGATGTACGGCAAGAGATGCTTATGGAAACGAAAAGGGAGTAACTGAGTATGCTTTATTTGGGAGTGCCATAAGAACCATGGATGCATTGGATGTGTTGTTGCAACAAACTAAACGTTTTTTTAAAAAAAAGACAGCTTTGGGTGTGGGACGGACCTTTCAACATGTGAACCCCTAGATATTATTTACTTGAGTTATAAGGTTATAATCGTTGTAATAATAAAGTCATATTTGTAATCACACCATTAACTACCATTCTTTCTTATTATAGCCTATTATTATTATTATTATTATTATCACAATTACTATTAGTAAATAGCAGTATAGTTCTAGCAGGCATACGTAATGTTATTTTATTATTACCATAACTAATTATAATGACAATACACTCTTAGAAAAAAAAGGTGCATTCTATAACTTAAAAGGGTTCTTCGGGACAGCCGAATAACCCTTTTCGAACCCTTTTTTTCTAAGAGAGTATAGTGTAGCATTACATTTGATAATTTGATCGACTACTCCACGAGTTTTTTGTTTAAACCGTCACATTTTAAAAACGGGAATGTTTGTAGACCCCTGAGCCATTTAATTGCATAGCAAAGCACCTTTAACAGTCACTACAATACTTATGTTTTTGGATTGGTGTTGGAAATTGGGCAATAAGTAATGTGAAGAATATTCTAATTCATTCCATTGAAAGTCCAGGCTGTAAGGCAACATGTGCAAGGAGTATTCTTTCCATGGGTACTGTACATGTCCAAGGCAAGCATACAGAAGTTTAAAACAGTTATTTAAACGAGTATATATATTTGATTCAATTAAATTGATGTGTACGGACTTGCTCACTTGAATGTCAAACCACAATTGCATGAATTAGAAAAATCTAAATAGAACAAGAGTATATATTTTTTAAATAAAGTATAGCAGGGATGAATTGGAATTCCCATTGCCCATTTTATTTCAATTATCTTTCTGGTTTAAGAAGATATCTGATGTATCAAATTAGCCTTTGGGTGGCAGCAAAAACAGCACAATCATAAATCGAATCCATTAGTGCACACCGTAGGAAAACGTTTTGCAATTGAAAACTTTTCGCATGAAAACGGGTGTTTTTATTGGACAAGTTCAGGTTAGCCTCTCCCTTTTCCAGTTTGTTTTCTTCTCTTTGGTGAATAGGGCCCAGGTTATATACGTAAGAGGCTCCAGTCCAGACTTTCACAAACTCCAGCACCACAATTTCCCTCAACCTGGCAACTTTAGTGGGACCTCTCCTTGGTGGGACAAACTGAATAATGTGGGTATGGCATAAAGGGACAGTTCAGCGATTTGACATATTTACATATTTGTTTCCTTACCTTGTAAGCAGTGACTGCAATCCACACCATTAGCATGCTTTAAATGAAATCCCCAAAATTAACTCATTGTTATAATTTAAAAACAACTCATTGAGTAACAATCCATTTAAGAGATGATTTGGTCATGCCCTTTTAAACGAGAAGTGAATCCACCTCCTGGACACAGCTGTTCCTAAAGGTTTAAACAAGTAACCTGTTTCCTAGATCTACTCTGCCTCCCCATGTCCTTTTCAAATATATAGTTGACATCCACGGGATTAGTCCTTGTATGATTGTATTCTACATCATGGGTGTCTTCTGATAGATAGAATGTTTGACTTTTAAGCACGCATTACGCACGCAACTACACACTATTTTACGCACACATTTGGATATGTATGTATTACCATATAGTTGTCTTTGTATTATGACTGTTTATACCATGGCATTGTTGAATACTCCTTTCTGATTGGCTTGAAGAGCATTCTAGAGCGTGCATTATTTCCCTATAACGCACGGTATATTTGCATGGTAGAATTCAATGGCTATAGTTAATTTTTACATGTTTTGTTTGAGCTGCTTTTGAAAGCAAAAGTCGAATTGAAAACAGTATTGGTATTGTTGAATTATATTTTCATAATAGCAAGCTAGGACTGATGATTTGGTTAGCTAAACTAGCAAGTCTGTTTGATTGGTTACCACTGCAACTAACATTACCGTAGCTATCTAGTAAACTTGCTAGCTACTTCAGTGGATGTTGAACACATTTCTACCGACAAATGAACACATTTCTAGTGGCAAATGTGTTCAATTATAGCCATGGTATAAAAGGGATAATCAACTCGGGGCTCTATGCGTTCTCTGGAAAATAATGCACCTCCGTGAAAGGTCAGTTCCACTCGCTAGCACGTCGTGGAACACACTTTCCACTTCGTTCATTCTTTTCCATAGAAGCTTAGCCCCTCGTTGATTATCCCTTATATAATGTATAGTTTGTATTTAGTTATTATGATGTTGTCATGTGATGTTTTGCCTGCTGAAGCCGGCCGATCTGCTCCTACCTCTCTCTCTCTCTATGTTTGTCAATAGTTCACAAAAGTGTTAATTGCAAGATACAGGCCTACCTTTTATTGGGTATAATATGACCCCAGTCGGTATAGCTTAAGTTGAAACGTTTGATTTGACCTTCATCCTTTCAGTCGTAGTTAGTGCTGTATATATAATGACTGTAAAAAATATGTTTCTATAGCCCATCTTTTGATTTTAGGTATAGTCTATTGATTCATGTTATATTCTCTCATATTTAACTATTTATTTACTTGTATATTTTTTGCTCTGGTCATTTGATCCATAGAACAGCTATACACCTTCTCTGCCAAATTGATATTTAGTTTTATATAGTTTAATAAATGTTATATAGTATATCCACACTAATTCCCTGAGCATTTCTGAGAATGTCCAATTTTCATAACATTACATTTAAAGTTGTTATAGGCGGAACGGAGATAGGATGTAGCTCAGTTGGTAGAGCATGGCATTTGCAACGCCAGGGTTGTGGGTTCGATTCCAGTATAAAAAATAAAAATGTATGCACTCACTAACTGTAAGTCGCTCTGGATAAGAGCGTCTACTAAAATGTATATTGAGTAGAATTTTAAGGGTTGAGCATTTGATCATAAATTATATCCACAATAGTGTCTGCCTTTCTTTAAAAGTGATTAAAAAAAAAACTGGGGCGCATCGACAAACCTTACATATATAGGCCCAGCTTGGAGATTCATTAACTAATCTGTAACAAAACGTAATCAGATGACTAAATATCGTGCACGCATTATTGCCAAATATTAGCCACATTTAAATCAATGCATTAATTCCCATTTGAAAAAGAAAAAAAAAATCATACTAAGGCTATATCCACAAGGCAATATTAGCTATAGGTTTCCACGACAGTATTACATATTTGAAGTTCTCAATTGAGAATAGTAAAAAAGTGGATTTCCCTTTCGCTCTTTGTTTTCTAACACACAAATGGACACAATTTCGCTATTATTGTCATATTGAGTAAAATCATATACATATTACGTACATCAGTGTATGCCTTTCCATTTCCTATAGTACTCAATACTGAATCGTTTCCATTCGGCAACATTGCTCACATGAAGGAATCTTGGATAATGTATCATTCCATGTTTTTCACCTGCATGGGTTAAGCCATGGTCAGAGCCATATATCAAAATATACGGAACAAAAATATAAACGCAACATGCAGCAACATCAACAATTTTACTGAGTTACAGTTCATGTAACGAAATCAGTAAATTGAAATAAATTCATTAGGCCCTAATCTATGGATTTCACATGACTGGGCAGGGGGACAGCCATGGGTGGGCCTGGGAGGGCACAGGCCCACCCACTGGGGAGCCAGGCCCAGCCAATCAGAATGAGTTTTTCCCCACAAAAGGGCTTTATTACAGACAGAAATACTCCCTAGTTTCATCAGCTGTCCAGGTGGCTGGTCTCAAATGATCGGCTGGTGAAGAAGCCGGATGTGGAGGTCCTGGGATGGCGTGGTTACACGCGGTCTGCAGTTGCCAGACCAGTTGAATTCTCTTAAATTCTCTAAAACGACTTATGGTAGATCAATTAACATTCAATTCTCTGTCAACAGTTCTGGTGGACATTCCTGCAGTCAGCATGCCAATTGCACTCTCCCTCAAAACTTGAGACATCTGTGGCATTGTGTGACAAAACTGCACATTTTAGAGTGGCCTTTTATTGTCCCCAGCACAAGGTGCACCTGTGTAATGATCATATTTAATCAGCTTCTTGATATGCCACACCTGTCAGGGGGGGCCAGTATGAAAAATGTATGCACTCACTAACTGTAAGTCGCTCTGGATAAGAGCGTCTGCTAAATGACTAAAATGTAAAATGTTATCTTGGCAAAGGAGAAATGCTCACCAACAAGGATGTAAACAAATTTGTGCACAACATTAGAAAGAAATCAGCTTTTTGTGTGTATGGAACATTTCTGAGTTCTTTTATTTCAGCTCATAAACATGGGACCGACACTTTACATGTTGCGTTTATATTTTTGTTCAGTTTGGCAATGGTCAGGCCTACACCTGAACTCATCAAATGCAATGACGCAGATCCGGCAGCAGATGGCAACATTGCCATCTCGTCATCATCAGTAAGGGATTTTTCCTACAGTAGCCTACTGGTATTATAAGGGCTCAATGTTGCTGGCCTCTACAACATTAAATGACAAAAAGGAAAGCTATGTATGTTTGACTCGTTTTATCAACGCTAATCATAGGTCTAATAGGCTTGTAGCCTACCTAAATTCAAGAAAAATAAAACGCTAAGAAACTAACCCCGAGATAAAACATTCTTACAAAAGCAATGCTCGTTTGTAAAGTCTGACTTTTCATTTGTCTGAGAAAAAATATGAACATTAGGCTACAAGGTAGTAATGGGGTTTCTCCAACTTTTATTGGGAAGAGCTTATTGGCTATATGGCTTTACATTTGTTATGATAGAAAACGAAATACAGCATTTTCAAACGATGATGGCTGCGCAGATAATTGGTGCATAAAACAGAGAGTTAAGATGATAATTATTGTATGGGAAAAGACATAGCCTACTCAGACAGAATAAAAAATCTAATCGTTTATAATTAACCGAATATTCACAGAATGCATAGGGTAAATGTAAAGCAATTTACTAATTAATAGCTCAACCATTTTGTGATGAGAAATGTTTCAGCTTTTAAAATAATATTCGCAGGCCTACAGGATTTGCGGGTTGCGCATTAGCGCTCTCGCCAACATTTCAAAATCAATCAATTCAGGGAATCTATATTCAAATTCAACAAATAATCTCAAACCGTCAATATAAATTATGCGCAATTTTTTGAATAATTAATTCTTACTCTGATGGAGCTAAAATGGAATTGTCCCACACTGATTTTAGTTTTTACGTTTCCAATTACAGGAGGCTATGTTCTTCTGAGTTGAGATTTAATTTTTTTGGCTATGAGTTATGTAGCATATTGGGAACAGATGGTAAAAACTGATAAAAGCTATATGTCCGTCGAAAAGAGTATGAGACGGAATATATAAACAAGGAGGAAGTTATTTCCCCATTTCCTTCAAACACAGGACATCGAATGGTTTCAATTAATTACGACCAAAAAGAAAAAAAAATACTGCCAAGTGGACCTCCAAAACAGAGACAACCCATGGCGGCCGAGGAGACGCCTTATATTGTGTAATAAATTATAATATAGTTCATTTTCATTGAACACCCATCAAGTCTCTTCATTTGTTGGTCTTTTTGTTTCAGTAGTTCCACATACAGCTAACTGGGACTCTTAAATTTGTTGACGACCTTCTTCTCTTTTACTCGCCTGTTCTGAAACCAGATAGTCACTTGTCGCTCTGTCAGGTTTGACTGATCAGATATCCTTCGTCGTTTGTCCTTTGTGATAAATTTATTGGCGGCATACTCCCTCTCCAGTTCTTTCAGCTGTATCTTGGTGTATGGCACGCGCTTCTTCCTCCCACGTCGAATAGAGCTGCCATCCCCTCCAGATACAGTGTCTGTGTGAAGAGCATAAACACGTGCTTAATTAGCCTAGAAACGTAGTATAGTTTCCAATAACGACTGGGTCTGTCGTGCCTATCCACAATTCACATTACGGTGACAAGATGGATGATGATTTCTTCAAACGAATGATTAATATGCTAATTGTAAAAGGAAAAACAACGCAGGACGAATGATGGTGTTTCTACTTTTGATTTTTAAAAACTGTGAGGTTTATAATGTTGAAATACAAATAATGCATAAGCTTGTGAAAACATTTAAGAATGTATAAACGCCAGGGTTGTGGGTTCGTTTCCCACGGGGGGCCAGTATGAAAATGTATGCACTCACTAAACTGTAAGTCGCTCTGGATAAGAGCGTCTGCTAAATGACTAAAATGTAAATAGCCGTAAGCCCATACCTGGAATTGACGATTTCCATAGATGGTTTGACTGTGGCTGGTCCTTAGCGCAGTAAACCTGACCATTCCATCCGTTGGTGATAGCCCATGGCTGATAAGGCTCCACAGGCAGAAGAGGCTCATGCCTGGGCTCGGTGGGTCCGCTGAGGGTGGGTACCACCGGGACTTCCAGATAGCTGGAGACAGGTTGGTAAGGGCTGGATGAATAGCCTTGGTAGAAAGCGAATTCCTTCGCCCTGGACCCTGGGAACTCCTCTCCTGAAACGGATGTGTCCATGTATTTGTCCCCATAGTCAGAGGAGTGCTGCGCGCAGGACTTCACGCTGCCGTGTGACATCCTACACGGGTAGTAGCTGCTGCCAAAATATCCATAAGGCAAGGACGCATTTGAGGAACTTTGAGCTGCGGAACAGGGGCTGCATTGTTTGACAGCTTCGCCCATGCCAGATACTGGCACCTCGCTCGACGTGTAGGTAGTGCTTGGAGCCAGGGACGTCGGATGCGCCAACAAATTCCTGCACTGATTTGCTGCAAAATTGCCTCCTGCAAACCCCTCCATGTTTTTGTTTATCTCATCCAAACCGTTATCATACAGGAACATGACCGGGTCAATCCAGCGCGAATGGAGAAGTAATGACGCTGTCATAGCATGCCCTACATCGAGACAACCAGCTCTTTTTAAAAAATCCCCACGACTGAAAAAAGAGATATGGAATCTGGGAGAGTAACTGATACCCACGCGCCTGTGTAGACCTAAAGATCGCAAGGTTATTGGGCAAAGCCAGGCACGTGATATGCAAAGATGATGATAAACGTCTAGACTGCAGATAATGCAGATCCATGCCCAAAATGTTTATACGCTAAAACAATATAGCATTTAGGAGGAAAGGGACTACATTTTCTAAACAAGATGAGTAGTTTCGAGATATCATACAGGTAACCATAGTTGTGGTTCATTCTTCATTGGAATCTGTCTGATGTCATTCTTGGTTTATAGCCTAGCATTTTGCTGAGGAAACATCACATGGATGGAGACTGACACGTTAAAATCCTGTTTGTCAAAATGCTGATAAAAACAGTAGAATGGAGAGGCGGTGGACGCAGATTTATGCATGCAACCATTCCGCATTTCAATTTATCAACAGTTATATGGCCAAGGCGTCATTGTAAATAAGAATTTGCTCTTAACTGACTTGCCTAGTTAAATAAAGGTTAAATAAATAACATTAAACAAGGCAGTTTATACGAAATTGTTCAATGGGTTGATTCAAATCAAATTCATTAATGTATATTCTTTTTTTTACTACACCGTGTGAGTCTGGAAAGTAATTTTAACGACTTTCTAATTGACCAGAATGCGCAGAGCTTGGAAACAACGTGCTGCAAAATACACCAATCCATGTTTTTGTTCGATACGTTTTTATCCCACAATTTAATTATACACGAAGTATCCTACTTTTGTTTTGGGCTAATATGATGCTATCAAGGAAGGTGAAACTACATTAAAATGCTTTGGTGGAGAAATATCAGTCATGCAAACTGTAAAGGAAATCATGAATAGTATGTGCATAAAATTCACTGAAAAGTAAACCATGCATGCCACGGCATGAAACACACTGCTATTTTATTTACATTTACATTTTAGTAATTTAGCAGACGCTCTTATCCAGAGCGACTTACAGTTAGTGAGTGCATACATTTTCATACTATCTGCTGTTCAGTCTCTTATAGGCTTTATAACCTACCCACAGAAAGCAGCTAGCACACTATTGGGCAGCGAGGTCTTTTACATATATGGGTTAGACTGCTGGAGGCAAAGGACAAGGTCAAGTTGAAAGTTAGTTGCAGTCCGTCTAGCCAGATATGTTGTTGTCATTCAACCACTGACCGTATGGCTTGAATTCCTTCAGGAAAGGTGAAAAAACAACCCCAAATACATTGTTGAAAATAAACTTTGGTGATCTTTTGACGATGTTTAAAGAAACCTCTGCGCTTATTAAATATAGCCTGTAGCATTTCTTAGTGACTTGGGGGGGGGGAATATGTATTCATTTGTCCATGTGAGCTTTTGGCAAAGTAGTGAGGAAATTATGTAATTGTAGAAACATGCTGAACATAAAAAATGTAAGGCCATCCGACCGGTTTTCGTGTTTACCGACGTGGCATTTCTCCAGGGTTAAAGACATAGTTCCTAGTTTGCCAGGCCTAAACCTATTCCATTCGCATTTCAGACACGTAAAACATTAGCAGACAATAGGAAACTGTGGTTTCAAAGAGAAGTTCAAACTGCACCAGCTTTTCAGCTCATTAGGAACGAGAGAAACATTCTGCTCTCTCATGATTTGTTATGCACGTGGTAATAACAGGCTATCTCAGTTAGGCTACAGGCTACTAGAGGAACGAATTGAGCTAATCTATTCGAATCAATGACAATGTAACTGTTTGTGAAATTGCATTTTTACTTGTGCACAAATATAAAATGTGGAAATTGGGTCTAAAAGAAAAAGAAAAAACGAAGCTAGACTATATCTTATTTTAAGTTAGAATTAGCAAAAGGCTACAGGTTACAACATCGCCACTGGCTTTGTCTGTGAGAGAGAACGAATGAACAAATTGTACAGCATTTCTTCCATTAGATGTAGTTGGTTGGAATAATTGAATAACAATGTATTCGACATTTTACAAGCACCAGCACCAAGACAATAGGCCGAGAAGGTGCCTTTTATGGTTAAGGTATTTGCAGGAGACAATTAGGATTTGGTTGTGACACTGCCCTAAAATGTCTTAACCTGTATTCTTCATAGCTATTGAACTGCCCGTGTTTTCCCTGTTACACCGTTCCCAATATATAGCCTGTCCCTATATGTTTGAGATCCAAAAGTAGACATATAGTAGATCTACAAGACTCATGACCCGAATATACAATATCCTGCAAAACTGCCGCCAAAAAAGTTTTTATTTTCGACCAACCGATTGTGGCAATTGGACATATCTATTGAAATCTGGTTCCACGGTTTCGGTCGATGCTGTTACCAAGTTCTTTTGGAGGGTATGAGGGATAGGCCTCCGCTTTAGACCTACTGCTATACTATAATGAAGTGTTTCATTCCAAGCCTTGGGTAAATTGCCATCCAACCGAGTGGGCAGGAAATATCACAGCCATCGCCATGTCTGCTAAACTCAGTCAGAACTCCTTCCCTTCTCTTCTCTGCGAATAGAGCCGAGTTCAATGAGGCTGGGCTGTCATGTTAAACCATATGTTAGGCCTATGTTATTTATGCCTGTATTCATGCGGTCTTTGAGATAATTCAATGGTCGCAGTAGAGACATTAGCCGCCCTACCACAGTCATTGAAAAAGCGTCATGTAGCTAGTATAAATAAAACAATTACGCTATGCTACTACCCAACATCGAATATGGCCAGACCCCCAGTGCAGTGGTGGAGTGGGCCGGTGAGGGAAAGGAAGGGATCTAACCTATACTCCTATCTGGCATGATGGACACACACTCAGGCTCTTCCTAGACAAATATGGCTTGCGGTGCCATAGCCACACATTGACTGTGGGACCTGAATCAGCGTGGGCATAGCGCACACTGTAGAAAGAGGCTATACATTGGGCCTATAGTTTTAACAAATCATATCTGGGTCCTTGCGTAAATTCGTTCATCAAAAGGTTGATAGATCTAGAGGACATAGTAATCGACGCTCAAGTAATTTTCAAAGACACCTTTGACCCGCTGAAATATTGAAAGGGTTATTTTAACGTCATATTTTAGTGCGGTAGGCTATGCACTTTATAGAAATTCGACAGAAAATCAACAATGTGCAAGTATCTAATACCACATATCTACAACACAAAATCCATGTGTTCGTGTGTATAGTGCGTGTGTATCATGTGTGTGTATGAGTGTCTGTGTCTCTTCAGTAGGCCTTCATAGGTGTATTTTTCGTTTCACAAAATAAAACACATAGGCTCACATGATGGTAGAAGTCAATTAAGACCTTTTAATAATTAAAATGGGCAATCACCCCCCTGAACAGGATGCTAGTCTGTCCCAGGGCCTTACCCCCCAATCTATCTCCTTAATGCTGAGTGCCAAGCAGAGACGCATTTTTAGTCTTTGGTATGACTCGGCCGGGGATCGAACTCCCAACCTTCCAATCTCAGAGCCGACACTAACCACAAGGCCACTGAGGAATATATAGTAGGCCTACTAGAAAATAGGCCTAATACTGGAAATACTGTTTTGCGAATGATATAGTCCTATAAAACAACGCCGAATCAGTCTAATCCTATGCATATTGTCATTCTAAAGTATAGTTTTTTTTATAAATTGATGGTCTACTTAAGAACTGAGTTTGAATGTGACTCAAATTTGTAGCTAAGTGGCCTGTGTAGATGGTAATGTACACATTTTGTTCTAATCCAATAAACCAGTTTGAACTGCATTTCTTAAATATGATTGTATTGTTTATTATTTGGCCGTGGCTTATTAAGGACTTCGCTTAATTGCAGCAACCAACTATTTAGATGTTAATTGGCCTATAGCCTACTAGCTATAACATTCGTCTGAGTATGACCCTTCAGATGTTATAGAAATTAAATGTTCGTTAAGGGTACATTTTGAAATAGAAACAGTTCAGAAATACTAGGCGATACAACATTTCCCTAAAATATTTTTAGTTAGGCCTAACACAAATGTGAATAACAAACAGCGATGTCCTATGCGAAATTGAATAAATACAATTATTAAACTAATAACATAACTATTAACTTATTATTAAACCATTTATCATTTCATCATAATTATTATTATATTTGACGTCCAAATTGACATTAATGTTGGCGTAGAAGTAAAAATCAGCGAATGACGCGTCCTGCGGGATGAGCGTTGTTGAATTAATTCCATGAAAACAGTACAGACTTCTGCTAACTGACTAGTGTGTGTAGCTCTTTAGATAATACAATACAATTACGTGTAGATACACCCTACGCCAACTTATAGGAGAATGAGTGAATGATTATATAGAAAAATGCAATATTGTTTTATTCTTTTGAACGAAATCTCTAGAAAGGAAGGTAATATCACAATATAATATTGTAGCCTGTTTCGTTTTTACAAACACTGGATCACCTGCTTAGTTTATAAATTATAAATAGCGTATGTAATAAACTGTACTTTTCAGTGAGTGGACAGCCATTATTGATCCCTGCTAGTCAGAATGTGTGCTGGCATGGGGATTTAATTCACTAATAGCAACACACATATAGAAAATAGTCATGCATTCTTTGTGGAGCCAAACCTGGTAAATAATTCCCTTTATGTCTAACAATTATGAGCAAAATACTTAATTTCCATAATTGTCAGTTGGCTCCATAAAATTTGAACAGAAAAGCACTAACTTCGGAATATATTGTGAACTTTGAACAGTACACAGTTCCTTACTTACTTCTGTCAGTGCAGTTGGCTGCTGGTCGGGAGGCTACAACCTGCAGAGGTGGAAGAGGTGTCAGTGCAGTTGGCTGCTGGTCGGGAGGCTACAACCTGCAGAGGTGGAAGAGGTGTCAGTGCAGTTGGCTGCTGGTCGGGAGGCTACAACCTGTAGAGGTGGAAGAGGTGTCAGTGCAGTTGGCTGCTGGTCGGGAGGCTACAACCTGTAGAGGTGGAAGAGGTGTCAGTGCAGTTGGCTGCTGGTCGGGAGGCTACAACCTGTAGAGGTGGAAGAGGTGTCAGTGCAGTTGGCTGCTGGTCGGGAGGCTACAACCTGTAGAGGTGGAAGAGGGCACACTCCTATTCAAGATCACACCATTTCAATTATCCTTTCGCTAACTGCACTGTATTTATAGTCACAGTAGATTGATTGAGGCACAATGGTGCTTTATCACCGTTGTGCCTAAAAAAAAATAAGAGTCAAGTCCACAACATGTATCAGTGATCCCGCCCCCCTCCCCAACCCAAGCTAAACAACCAGCAACAGCATCTCCTTTGCTCTGCCTCTTCCTGCGACAGTGGTTTCATCTCAGATTGGACCCGATTCCTACAAAGTGCACTACTTGTGACTAGGGCCCATAGTGCTCTGGCACAAGTAGTGCACGATATAGGGAATATGGTGCCATTTGGAACGCACACTCTGTGTAGAACTCCCAGGCTCTCTAGCTAACTCAGAGACACCCAGGGAAACCTTTCACTTTGGCCTGCCTGGCCTGGTTGCTCTGCTCTATAGGATATAGGACCAAAGTGGTGCTCTGTTTGTAATAGCTGGCAAGCAGATAACACTGCACTTAGTCTCCAGTGCTTAATGGACTTTTTATGGGCTAGCCTTGTGATCGTGTGACCTATGGCATCCTGGCCTCTCAGTGTCTCTCTTGGTAAACTAGATCAGAAACATGCCGCTCTCTTCTTTGTCTTGGGCGAGCGAGAGAGCGAGAGATCAAGGGAAGGAAAGAGAATACAACCGTTTTCTATTTCCATCAGAAAACAAGGACCTCCTTGATACTTGATGACCATTTCACCCCTTAGCTAAAGAGTCCCGACCATTTCACCCCTTAACTAAAGAGCCCCTTCAATCTACAAAATTCTGCTGGTGTATCCTGGAAGCACTTCCTTTCTTGCTTCTACAAGTTTTCTGTTTTCCTGACACACTTTGGAAGGCCTCTCCTACCTCAGGGTTAACTCAGTGTTATATTGGCAAACTCCAATGCATCATATACACTGAGTGGACAAAATATTAAGAACACCTGCTCTTTCCATGACAGACTGACCAGGTGAATCCAAGTGAAAGCTATGACCCCTTATTGATGCCACTTGTTAAATGCACTTCAAATCAGTGTAGATGAAGGGGAGGAGACAGGTTAAAGGGTTTTTAAGCCTTGAGACAATTGAGACATGGATTGTGCATATGTGCCATTCAGGGTGAATTGGCAAGACAAAATATTTAAGTGCCTTTGAATGGGGTATGGTAGTAGGTGCCAGATGCACCGGTTTGTGTCAAGAACTGCAACGCTGCTGGGTTTTTCACACTCAAGTTTCCAGTGTGTATCAAGAATGGTCCAAAGGACATCCAGGCAACTTGACACAACTGTGGGAAGCATTGGAGTCAACATGGGCCAGCATCCCTGTGGAACACTTTCGACACCTTGTAGAGTCCATGGCCCGACGAATTAAGGCTGTTCTGAGGGCAACTCAGTATTCCTAATGTTTGGTATACTCTGTGTATAAGAACCCCTATTGAATTCTATAGGCTTACTACACAACCACATTCACCCAGTCACGTGCACGCTGGCTCACTCTTCCCCGTCCGGCTGGCTGGTCGCATAGGGCAGCAACAGAGTCGCTCCACTTCTGGCAGTCTTTGGCCATCTTCTCCTCTGCATGTACAGCACACTGCATTGACCAATAGGAAGCAGCTATACTGTAGCAGCCAGCCACACTTCCCGTGTATGCAGAATTCATGAGCGCTTACGTTAAATCAGGGCCGGGTGTATTAATTAGTGCGCAATGTAGCAAAACATTTCGCAAACAAAAACATGCGTTTCTTATTGGACAAGTTCAGGTTATTTCCTCCCCGTTTCAGCTATTTGTTTCTGTTTGGTTCCTAGTGAATACACCCCAGTTCTTATTTCCCAAAATAAAAGCAGTAACCTACAGTGGTTCTCTGTAGCTCAGCTGGTAGAGCACAGCGCTTGTAACGCCAAGGTAGTGGGTTCGATCCCCGGGACCACCCATACACAAAAAAAAAAAAAAATGTATGCACGCATGACTGTAAGTCGCTTTGGATAAAAGCGTCTGCTAAATGGCATATTATTATTACAGACATGAAGGACAGTATGTGGGCTGGCTTAATAATGCAACACCTCAGATATCTCTTTTCACCATTCCTTTACTAGAATACATATTTGTACAGTGATGCAAAACTTTAAAGTGCGCTTACCCTCTCTAACGAGGCGCTTAATAAAATAAGAATGATCTAATCATCTGGAGCAGTCTCATCATCAGGCACCTCATCTTCCTCCTGCAAACACAGTACAGACACAGCACATCTCCTCCTGCAAACACAGTACAGACACAGTACATCTCCTCCTTCAAAACAGACTGTACAGCTGTGCGAGGGTTTAGGGCAGTGGGTCAAAAAGCAATCCAATAATCACTAGCAATGATTGACATATCACTGGATGGAAAAAAAACACTCCTACAATCTCTCACCTTTTATTAAACATTAAAACACATACAAATAAGACAGGAACATTCTATCCCTCCACAACAGGAAGTGAAAAACAACTCAAACAAATCAATGATCAGGATCAATACACGTGAAGTTGCAGTGAGTGAGTGGTGACTAGAACTAAGAATCATCTGAAGTCTCAGTCGTCTATTGTTGACGAGTGAGTGTGGTCGTTAACAAGTCTAACTTGGGTCATTTCCTTGACAACGCCTGGGTGGCTTTCAATGGCGACGTGTGTTAGGGTAGCACCGATATAGTCACGGTGATAGCGGTAGTGGTTAGCCAGCCTACTGAGCGACAGTGACTTTGGAGAACCTCCCCACACCTCAAACATCCACTGTCTTCTAGCCTAGCGATCTAAAACATTAAAGGAGTGCTACTTTAACAAAACGCAGGATCACACACACAGGTAACATGACCCCCCATCTTAGAGACACAGTGTAGTATAGTACTCTTTAAGATGATCTGTCACATCACGGCTCCTCTTGGCTTTGACCCAATACACACGTCTTGACAAGTCCTGGGGAGAGGGGGGCAAACCAACGCACCCCAACTACATGGTAGTAGTCTTGTATGGAACAGACCCTGGTAAGGCTATGGATGGGGCAGAGGTGGGGTGGTGTTCCCCCTGCCCCTATTGGCCTTCCTCCTTATTCTCATCCTCCTGCAGGAACTGGAAGACGGAGGAGAAGTCTTTGCCGGCGTAGCCCCGAGCACACATCATGCGGTAGATCTGGTGGGCCAGGGAGCCCAGAGGGACAGGGGTCTTGGTGTTGGTGGCTGTGGCCTGAGCTAGCCCCAGGTCCTTAAGAGGAGAAACACTCATTAGTGCTCTGCCATCACCGCTTGTTGTACACAGCACAGTTAAACATGTCAAAGGCACATCTCTTTCACTTACATGTAAAGTTATTAATACTATTATTGACAGAGAAATTAACTAAAATAAAGTCACAGGAAATTAAAGAGCCCCTGAAGAATCATCTGCTGTGTCACTCACAAACATTTGTGTACTAAACGTCTTCCAATGGAGAAAGATGGAGTAAACAGAGAGAGATGGAGAGAGATGGAGTAAACAGAGAGAGATGGAGAGAGATGGAGTAAACAGAGAGAGATGGAGAGAGATGGAGTAAACAGAGAGAGAAACAGAGAGAGATGGAGAGAGAGAGAGAAACAGAGAGAGAAACAGAGAGAGATGGAGTAAACAGAGAGAGATGGAGAGAGATGGAGTAAACAGAGAGAGATGGAGAGAGAGAAACAGAGAGAGAAACAGAGAGAGATGGAGTAAACAGAGAGAGATGGAGAGAGATGGAGTAAACAGAGAGAGATGGAGAGAGATGGAGTAAACAGAGAGAGATGGAGAAACAGAGAGAGAAACAGAGAGAGATGGAGTAAACAGAGAGAGATGGAGATAGATGGAGTAAACAGAGAGAGATGGAGAGAGATGGAGTAAACAGAGAGAGATGGAGAGAGATGGAGTAAACAGAGAGAGATGGAGAGAGATGGAGTAAACAGAGAGAGATGGAGAGAGATGGAGTAAACAGAGAGAGATGGAGTAAACAGAGAGAGATGGAGAGAGATGGAGTAAACAGAGAGAGATGGAGAGAGATGGAGTAAACAGAGAGAGATGGAGTAAACAGAGAGAGATGGAGAGAGAGAGAGAAACAGAGAGAGATGGAGTAAACAGAGAGAGATGGAGAGAGATGGAGTAAACAGGAGTGAGGGAGAGCCCCACCTTGGCCATGAGTTGGGTCCCAAATCCTCCCTGGTAGTTGTTTCCAGAGGGGACTCCCTCCATGACACCAGGTACAGGGTTGTAGGTGTCACTGGACCAGCAGCGGCCTGAACTCATGTTCAGGATCTTAGCCAGTAGCTTAGGGTCAAGCCCTAGTCTGTCAGGGGCCAGACGGACAGATTCAGGAAATCACAAGCATTTTTTTTACCATTAGTTTCGGTTACAAGTTTAACGTGGGTTACTGTTTACCGTGTGTCATTTCTCTGATTGCTGGTTTAACCACAACTACAAGTAAAGGACGAGTCATTGACAACATGTAGACATCAGTTGATAGAGTATGTGTTTTTAAAAAGGCGCTTTTCCAGTGGATAGTTACTTTAAGAGTGTAGTGTTACAGATATGTACGATTCTCACGGCATGGTTCTGTTCAACAAGCGTTAAGTGCAACACAACATATTTTGTCGGAGATACATTTACAGCAGAGATTGTATTGGCAATACTCAACCTGATGCCAAGGTTCATGGTCTCAGAGGTTCCGATCATGCCTATCGCCAGCAGCATATTGTTGCAGATTTTGGCAGCCTGTAAGAAACAGACCCTTGGTTACATCCTACGCAGTCACACGTCGTTTTGTAATAATCCACCCATAATGCCCCTAGTATGAATGTATTGTGTGCGTCTCAAATGGTACCCTATTCCCTAAAGTGTTTTACCTTTGACCAGGACCTCTGGTCAAAAGTAGTGCACCATATAGGGAATAGGGTACCATTTGAGACGTAACTCTTGTAAATGTTAATGCCTACCTGTCCAGTGCCGACGGCCCCACAGTACACCACGTTGGCTCCCATACAGGTGAGCAGCTCCTGGGCTGCTGTAAACTCCGTCTCTACACCCCCCACCATGAAGGTTAGCTTCCCCGAGCTGGCAGCCCCCACACCTGGAGAAAAGGAGGGTGATATGCACATCCTAAACTTGAGAATACCTGATGAAGACTTTGGTGAAGTGGAAACGTTGTACACACACACACACACACCAGACAGGCGCACGCACAGGCCTTGGGATGGGCCGTGCTTGTAGCATATAAAACACGCATGATGGTTTCATTAGAACAGTATGTCTGTCAGTCACTGCTGTCGCTTCTCAGCTCCTCAAAACTGTTATGAGTTAATCACGGAAAGATGGATGCAAAACTACAAAGCACTTTCCTAAACAGTGGTTTGTTCCCTTGTCCCAACACCCACCCTTCGCTCACCAAGTTTGGGTGAGAAAGTAATTTCACATAAAATCAACTGAAAGGAAAAGTGAGGTTGTGGTGAAAGGTAGCTGAACATATTTAGACTAAATGAAGTGGAAGCAAAAAGCTGTCAGAGCACAGAGAGAAAGAGATGTCTCAAATCCCATGCCAAATGTGGTGGGGTAACCATTTTTTAAAAATGGGGGAGATTTTCTCAAACGCATTAAAAACTTGAACAAGCTACGCAAATCGTCAAAGTGCGTACATAAAAAGACAACCCTTTCATTTCTGTTGCCAAAGTTACAGGCTCTCTGTCTCTCTGCCATACTAATGAGAAGTGTGTGTGTGTGTGTGTGTGTGTGACGATTCCAGCTCTGCCATCTCACACAGCCTAGGAACCAACACACACACACCAATTACTGAGTCTCTCTAAGGACGTGTGTTACAGTGAAAGTGAATGTGTTTGTTGGTGGCTACGTGAGTTCTGTGGTCAAACGTTTTCATTCCAGTCACTACAGTAGCCTTTCATGATGAACATTTCCCAAGGTTTTACATACAAGTCCATTCATTGAAATGAAAATGTATAAGAAAACAATTCGCAATGACTGGATTTGGGACTAGGTTATTGTAAGATGACTACCGCTGACAGCGCAGGGGAGCGTCCCAAATAGCACCCTGTTCCCTATATTGTGAACTACATTTAACTAGGGCCCTGTGGGCTCTGGTCAAAAGTAGTGCACTATATAGGGAACAGGGTACCATTTGGGGACGCAACCCAAGTTGTGGATTTCCTATTATTGCTCCAGAAAACAAGGCATTCCTTCCAACAGTGTGTCTGCTGCCAAACCTCTCTGACGCAATGTGGGCTCTGGGTGGAAGAGGCAACACATGAAAGACAGAGAACCAGAGGGACAATGTTTTTGTTTTTTTACAGTCTCTCAAAGCACAGGGAACATCCTGATTATATACACCCTCTCTCACAATAAAATAGCACTATGTAAGTAAGTCTGGGTTGGAGAAGGTACTCTGGATTGGTCTGAATTGGGCTACAGCAAAGCTCCTTGCTGGATTCAGAACAAGCAGAGTTGGAAGTTAAACATGATGTGTGCTCCTGGGTTTTGTGTGTGTGTGTGTGTGTGTGTGTGTGTGTGGTCTCCTTGGTTACAGTACCATCTCCTGGGTAACAATGACACCAGTCTCCTCTCATTCCTCTGTGCTCTATTACTGCCATGCACCACGTGTTGTCCTACACACACACACACACACACACACACACAGTCCTCAAGTGGTTTGTGTTTTCTGACCACTGATAACATGTTCAACCCCTGGCATTCCAGCACAGAATCAAGGTAGTAACATGCTGCAATACTTGACTCTAACCACACACACACACCACTGTGACCTGCAGCCACCCAAGTTCAATGTGGGAAGCTGGACAGCCTTAATCCATGAGCACTGCCGCAGGAAGGACGCATATAAATCATTACTAATCTTTAGGGCCTGATCGTAAAATAGGCCAACATCAACTCAAAGAAAGTGCCTTTCCTCAAGTTAAAAGGCTGAGTTCAAACAAACAGTGTGTGTAGCGTATGCGACAGTGTGTGTGTGTGTTCCCAAGACTGTGATAGTGTGTTTTACGGCTTGGAGCCTTTCTGAAGGCCAGTACGGCTCGTCCTCATCTTCCCTACCCCCCACACAGTGGCTGCATCCCAAACGGCAGCCTATTCACTATTTAGTGCACTACTTTTGACCAGGTCCTGTAAGGTACTCCTACTGCTCTTTATGACCCATGTTGTCAAGTAGGTAAGGTACTCCTCCTCTTTATGACCCAGGTTGTCAGGAAGGTAAGGTACTCCTCCTCTTTATAACCCATGTTGTCAAGTAGGTAAGGTACTCCTCCTCTTTATGACCCAGGTTGTCAGGAAGGTAAGGTACTCCTCCTCTTTATAACCCATGTTGTCAAGTAGGTAAGGTACTCCTCCTCTTTATGACCCAGGTTGTCAGGAAGGTAAGGTACTCCTCCTCTTTATAACCCATGTTGTCAAGTAGGTAAGGTACTCCTCCTCTTTATGACCCATGTTGTCAAGTAGGTAAGGTACTCCTCCTCTTTATGACCCAGGTTGTCAGGAAGGTAAGGTACTCCTCCGCTTTATAACCCATGTTGTCAAGTAGGTAAGGTACTCCTCCTATTTATAACCCATGTTGTCAAGTAGGTAAGGTACTCCTCCTCTTTATAACCCATGTTGTCAAGTAGGTAAGGTACTCCTCCTCTTTATGACCCAGGTTGTCAGGAAGGTAAGGTACTCCTCTTTATAACCCATGTTGTCAAGTAGGTAAGGTACTCCTCCTCCTCCTCTTTATGACCCAGGCTGTCAGGTAGGTATGGTACTCCTCCTCTTTATGACCCAGGCAGTCAAGTAGGTAAGGTAATCCTCCTTCTCCTCTTTATGACCAAGGCTGTCACATAGGTAAGGTACTCCTCCTCTTTATGACCCATGTTGTCAAGTAGGTAAGGTACTCATCCTCTTTATGACCCATGTTGTCAAGTAGGTAAGGTATTACTCCTCTTTATGACCCATGTTGTCAGGTAGGTAAGGTACTCCTCCTCCTCTTTATGACCCAGGCTGTCAGGTAGGTAAGGTACTCCTCTTTATGACCCAGGCAGTCACATAGGTAAGGTACTCCTCCTCCTCTTTATGACCCAGGCTCAACCATCTACATGAGAAGCAGAGACTGGATGGATACACCATTTTGTCAGACATGAAAGGAAATGATCCAGTGTCGGCCATTTTAACCTGAACCTATGCCCACATGGGAGTCTGCTTTCCTGGGTAGAGTCACCGATTTGTCAGGAGCAATACAATGCAGTCTTCCTCCCAGTGTAATTCACAGAGATACATGTGGCAACGGACATGAGTACACATATGATCATGATGGAAATGTTTCTCTTTATATAACTTGGTCAAATGGTTTGCAGTAAAAAGATTAGTAATTGTTGTAAAGTTGTGCTATGAGAGAGTGATGAACTGGTAGTAGACTTTCAAAACCAGATGTTTTCAGAAGAAGAGGGGCACAAATAAAGAGAGAGAGTGCAGGAGATTTTTAGGTTGCTGGGATCTGAGAACGGAGCGTTTGGGTGGAAGGGTCATCGGATCAAACTCCAGATGCTGGGTTCTGAAATAATCCACATCGCGGCCCACAAATGCGCTAGAGAGCTCCATCTCCTAAATCTGGTCCATTTCAACAATTAAGGAGTGGAAAGGCTGGTCCTCTCAGATTGCAGCAGAGACCCCCCAAATGGGCCCGGGCCAACACTAGTGCACTATATAGGGATTAGTGACATTTGGAACACAGTATTAGTCCTTACCTCCTGACACAGGCGCGTCCATAAAAACAGCCCCCATCTTCTCCGAGGCCACGGCCATCTCCTTGGAAACGGCTGGGTCGATGGTGCTGGAGTCGATGAGTAGCGAGCCTTTCTTGACCTTCCTGTAGAACAGTAAAGTACCCACCTTATAGTTTAAACAACAGTCTGAAGGGTTTCTGTTAAAGACAGATGGCTAAGTGACTTGACTTGGAGACTGCTTTTATTAGGGCTCTGGTGAAAAGTTGTGCACTATAAAGGGAACAGGAAATATGGTGCCATTTGGGACACAGCCAGTGACTAATTGAGAGCAAGGGATCTTACTTGAGGATACCGTTGGGTCCAGTGTAAACCTCGATGACGTTGGGACTGGAGGGCAGCATGGTAACGATGCGGTCTGCCTGGTCTGCCACCTCCGCAGGGTTATCCACGATCTGACAAAACAGGGCTTTACTCATTAGGGCACACCGTAGCAAAATGTTTCAAAAAACGAGTGTTTCTTATTGGACAAATTCAGGTAGTCCCTCCCTGTTTTAGTCTGGTGGTGCATAATGAATAAGCTACACCCCAGGCAAGCACAACCATTAGGATTAGAGTAAGAAGTAGATAGGCAATGACGAGAGGCAAATCTTATGATGGACTCAGTTTGTTTGGATTGGACACTAATTAAAGTGGTTCCACCTATCTACAATATAGTTTTCAGTCATGGTATTTTGTTCATGTTTTTTTAGCACCTTCCAGCTGTCATCACAACAGAGCGCTATGGTATGCCATCATCCGGTGCATTGCGCTCAATGCGCTGCCATTAGAAAACAAGAAAGATAGTTTTTTGTCCCACCTGGGCACCCAACTCTTGCAGTTCTTTGCAGGACTCAGGGAAGACGTCAGTGGCGATGACGGGGTATCCGTGCTTCAGCAGGTTCTTGGCCATTGGTTTTCCCATGTTCCCCAGGCCGATGAAACCCACCTGGGTCTTAGAGGCCATGGACCTGCTGGAGACTGGGGGGGTACAGGGGTGTATTCATTAGTGCAAACCGGTGCAATCCGTAGCGAAACGTTCCAATGAAAACGAATGTTCCTTATTGGACAAGTTCAGGTAGGCCTAGGTCCCTCCCAGTTTCAGCCCGTTTGGTTCCTAATACACCCCAGGAACAACTTGTAAGGAGCGGTGTTATTGACAGATGGCTAGACTACTACTGATGAGACTAGACTACCCTAGGTCTTTTGTAAACCTTTCAGCCAAGCTGAGAAAGCTCTAACACAGCTGTTCTGTGTAGGCTTCACTAACAAAAAGAAATGACCGGAATGTGAAAAACTATAGTCTCTTGCAAAATGCTGTCAAAAGGCTCCCTAGTCCATTGAAACATCAAGGCCACTTCTAATCTAGGCCTTGCACTTCTGTTTCAATGAAATCCAAACATAACCCAGCCCTATCAATAGTTAACCAAGACCTGTATTGTACATTCCAGTGGGTAATGTCAGAGGCAAGCTGGATAAAACAAATTAGGACCAAGGAAAGGTAGCCAGACATTTCTACATGGCTTCCAGACATTCATTTTGTCAAATCCCATATCAAAGCAGTAAACCTGTGAACCAGTAGTGAACTCATTCACTATTTCCTATAAAACAGAAGGATAGAACGAAGGTTTTGGATGAAAGTAGAGATGTATTGGGCCAAAGGGCATCTTATAAATACACTGTGGTGTGTAAATGTGTGTGAGCAGAGGGGGGTGTGGCAGGCATCCAGGCTGCAGGTCTCTCACATGGCTGGCTCTCCCAATCAATCTTCATAGTGGCTTCAGTGGAAAGACACACGTGACCTGCCACTGTTGGACTAACGCCGCATTCACGCATTAGTTGGATCTTGGAAACTCTGAAATGTCTGACTCACTAACTGATTTTAGCCATACACGTGCTACTTTCAACGAATCAGCAAGTCGGAAATGTCAGAGTTTCCTAGTTCCGACTAGCATTTGAACGAGGCATTAGGGAACTACCACACACACACACTCAGAAAGTGCAGCACACAAGACCCCTTGGCTGCGTCTCAATAATCTCTACTTCCTCCTGAAGTGTGTCCTCCCACAAACGTAAAGGCATTGGATTGGTGTAGGCATGGGCTAGAGGTTGTTTCCATGTACCAGTGCCAGTCAATTCAATGAAGGTTATTGGGACGCAACCCCGGTGTTGTGTGCTAGACCTACTGCCATTGCAATTAAGGTCACTAACCCTCGATCATGGCTCAGTTCCGTTACATTACACATAAGAGTCACAGGAAGAAGGCGTCTTCTGTATGGGGCAGTTTTATTAAGCGCCCCGATGCTCGGTGTGAACATTAACACACATCGCTTGCGGTACGGTTTTTGGAAGCATAAGGAATGCCATTTATTTCTCTGCTAAATGGCATATTATTATATTATTTATTATTGAAAGGCCCTTTCATATCAGCGAGAAATAATAATAATAAAAAAATGATCCACACCTTTATAGGGTTAGGGTTGGTCTTGCCACATGGACGTATCTACATGTTACAGTTCTTTTTTAACAGAAAACAGACCTGTGCTGATTAGCTATCTAGCATGCTCCGAACACCTGAGTGTAAGGGTATCTGTGCACAATTGCTACAGTAAGTGCATCTTTTATATGAAGGAATCTTTGTCGCTGATGTAAGGACCGTGTTTCGAAAGCCGCCATTATTGTTTTCCAAGCTATAATTATTGACGTTTCTAAAAGTTAAAACACAGCGTCAGGATTGTAGTTGACATGAGCCAGTCGTGGGCGAAGCTAACCGCAGAAAACTGTAGGGAGAAGGCAGAATGCCACCTAGAGTTTGAGAGCTAGGTCACGTTTTTCACAAGGTTGGGTTTTGGTAACAGTTGAACCACCAGTGAGGACAGTAGGTGGGGTTATCATGGTAAGAGTTGAACTACCGTGAGGACAGTAGGTGGGGTTATCATGGTAAGAGTTTAACTACCAGTGAGGACAGTAGGTGGGCTTATCATGGTAAGAGTTGAACTACCAGTGAGGACAGTAGGTGGGGTTATCATGGTAAGAGTTGAACTACCAGTGAGGACAGTAGGTGGGGTTATCATGGTAAGAGTTGAACTACCAGTGAGGACAGTAGGTGGGGTTATCATGGTAAGAGTTGAACTACCAGTGAGGACAGTAGGTGGGGTTATCATGGTAAGAGTTGAACTACCAGTGAGGACAGTAGGTGGGGTTACCATGGTAAGAGTTGAACTACCAGTGAGGACAGTAGGTGGGGTTATCATGGTAAGAGTTGAACTACCAGTGAGGACAGTAGGTGGGGTTACCATGGTAAGAGTTGAACTACCAGTGAGGACAGTAGGTGGGGTTATCATGGTAAGAGTTGAACTACCAGTGAGGACAGTAGGTGGGGTTATCATGGTAAGAGTTGAACTACCAGTGAGGACAGTAGGTGGGGTTATCATGGTAAGAGTTGAACTACCAGTGAGGACAGTAGGTGGGGTTATCATGGTAAGAGTTGAACTACCAGTGAGGACAGTAGGTGGGGTTATCATGGTAAGAGTTGAACTACCAGTGAGGACAGTAGGTGGGGTTATCATGGTAAGAGTTGAACTACCAGTGAGGACAGTAGGTGGGGTTACCATGGTAAGAGTTGAACTACCAGTGAGGACAGTAGGTGGGGTTATCATGGTAAGAGTTGAACTACCAGTGAGGACAGTAGGTGGGGTTATCATGGTAAGAGTTGAACTACCAGTGAGGACAGTAGGTGGGGTTATCATGGTAAGAGTTGAACTACCAGTGAGGAGAGTAGGTGGGGTTATCATGGTAAGAGTTGAACTACCAGTGAGGACAGTAGGTGGGGTTACCATGGTAAGAGTTGAACTACCAGTGAGGACAGTAGGTGGGGTTATCATGGTAAGAGTTGAACTACCAGTGAGGACAGTAGGTGGGGTTACCATGGTAAGAGTTGAACCACCAGTGAGGACAGTAGGTGGGGTTATCATGGTAAGAGTTGAACTACCAGTGAGGACAGTAGGTGGGGTTACCATGGTAAGAGTTGAACTACCAGTGAGGACAGTAGGTGGGGTTATCATGGTAAGAGTTGAACTACCAGTGAGGACAGTAGGTGGGGTTATCATGGTAAGAGTTGAACTACCAGTGAGGACAGTAGGTGGGGTTATAATAATAATAATAATAATAATAATATGCCATTTAGCAGACGCTTTTATCCAAAGCGACTTACAGTCATGCGTGCATACATTTTTTTTTTTTGTGTATGGGTGGTCCCGGGGATCGAACCCACTACCTTGGCGTTACTAGCGCCGTACTCTACCAGCTGAGCTACAGAGGACCACATGGTCAGTGAGGACAGTAGGTGGGGTTATCATGGTAAGAGTTGAACTACCAGTGAGGACAGTAGGTGGGGTTGTCATGGTAAGAGTTGAACTACCAGTGAGGACAGTAGGTGGGGTTATCATGGTAAGAGTTGAACTACCAGTGAGGACAGTAGGTGGGGTTATCATGGTAAGAGTTGAACTACCAGTGAGGACAGTAGGTGGGGTTGTCATGGTAAGAGTTGAACTACCAGTGAGGACAGTAGGTGGGGTTGTCATGGTAAGAGTTGAACTACCAGTGAGGACAGTAGGTGGGGTTATCATGGTAAGAGTTGAACTACCAGTGAGGACAGTAGGTGGGGTTGTCATGGTAAGAGTTGAACTACCAGTGAGGACAGTAGGTGGGGTTGTCATGGTAAGAGTTGAACTACCAGTGAGGACAGTAGGTGGGGTTATCATGGTAAGAGTTGAACTACCAGTGAGGACAGTAGGTGGGGTTATCATGGTAAGAGTTGAACTACCAGTGAGGACAGTAGGTGGGGTTATCATGGTAAGAGTTGAACTACCAGTGAGGACAGTAGGTGGGGTTGTCATGGTAAGAGTTGAACTACCAGTGAGGACAGTAGGTGGGGTTGTCATGGTAAGAGTTGACCTACCAGTGAGGACAGTAGGGGCACAGCACTGGTATGAGAAGAGATGTAAATCAAACATGCAGCAGAACAGACTAGCTATAGTTGGGCTACATCTCAATGATCTGTCCTGGCCACTTAGTCATTTAGCAGATGCTCTTATCCAGAGCGACTTACAGTTAGTGAGTGCATACACCCATTTGTGCAAACAAACACCCTATTCAATACAGAACTCGCTTGGCAATTACTGAATTGCTGACAAGAGCTGTGGGCTTTGACTTGACCCTCAACTTGTTACTTGTGCGAGATACACACCTCTGATTAGAACATTTGCTGGTGGTGGCTATCGGTTGTCCTGATAAACAATAAAACAAATGTTTCGATCAACCAACGTCCCATGACTTTAGCTAACTAGCTATTTTAGCAAACTAACTAGCTAGTTAGCAGAAGTGAGCGAGCCACAATAGCCAATGCTAATCAACTTTTATTCAACGTTGATTTGCACGCAGCGGTGCCTTTCGTGTCATAAGGGAATTGCCATCAAACAGGTCCTCAACATTGATGGTAGATATTATATATTTTTTATAATTTTTTAACTCCTTACCCAAAGTAAAGTCAACATGTTTGAGGCTCCTTCCCCATAGGTTCCGAGACCCCCTTAAAACAGCGGCCATGCTTCTTTGCTTTCTGACCTCGGATTCAGCGTGACATCCTTGTGTGGGTTGTAAATGACACGTTTTCTGTCCAATCGCAAAGCCGTTTCCCCGGGTTTATATCCAATGAGAAACAGTGGGGGCGGGATATCCGAACTGTATGAACTTGAAGGACATGGCTGATTTCATACCTCAAGCACTGAAATGCAAAATCAGTAGTTAATAACACCAATTCAATAGTCTGCTCAGGCGGTGGAAACGCGTTTTCAATAGCTCAACCATAAAGAAACCTAACGTTATCAGCAAATAAACTATATAATAACGGCATAAGGGGCATACTGTACTGCATCATAATATGACGATCATGTTATATACAGCCTTTGGCAGTCATGGTTTCCCTAAATATGTCAAGCCCCCCTAACTATATCAAGTCTGATCGAGTAAAAGTATATTATGGAGGAACAGTATCTGGGGGAGCAGAATATTATGGAGGAACAGTTTTTGGGGGAGCAGAATATTAATGGGGAAACAGTATCTGGGCGAGGCGGAATATTATGGAGAACAGTTTTCTGGGAAGCATAATATTAATGGGGGAACATATCTGGGGGAGCGGAATATTATGGGGGAGCAGGTCGGGGACAGTTTGGGGTCGGAATTATGGGGATTGTCTGGGGAGCGGATATTAGGGGAACAGTGTCTGGGAGCGGAAATTAGGGGAACAGTCTCTGGGAGCGGAATATTTTGGAACAGTCTCTGCGGAATATTATGAGGAACAGTTCTGGGGGAGCGGAATATTATGTGGAAAGTATCTGAGGAGCGAATATTATGGGGACAGTCTCTGGAGAGCGGAATATTATGGGGAACAGTATCTGGAGGAGCGGAATATTATGGAGGAACAGTATCTGGGGGAGCGGAATATTATGGGGGAGCAGTCTCTGGAGGAGCGGAATATTATGGAGGAACAGTATCTGGAGGAGCGGAATATTATGGAGGAACAGTATCTGGGGGAGCGGAATATTATGGAGGAACAGTATCTGGAGGAGCGGAATATTATGGGGGAACAGTATCTGGGGGAGTGGAATATTATGGGGGAGCAGTTTCTGGGGGAGTGGAATATTATGGGGGAGCAGTTTCTGGGGGAGCGGAATATTATGGGGGAACAGTATCTGGGGGAGCGGAATATTATGGGGGAGCAGTGTCTGGGGGAGCGGAATATTATGGGGGAGCAGTCTCTGGAGGAGCAGAATATTATGGAGGAGCAGTATCTGGGGGAGCGGAATATTATGGAGGAACAGTATCTGGAGGAGCGGAATATTATGGAGGAACAGTATCTGGAGGAGCGGAATATTATGGAGGAACAGTATCTGGGGGAGCGGAATATTATGGAGGAACAGTATCTGGAGGAGCGGAATATTATGGGGGAACAGTATCTGGTGTTGGAACAGTTTGCTATATTATGGAACATTATCTTATGAGAGGAATTATACCACCGCTAAGGGCTGTTCTTATGCATGATGCAAAGCGGGTGCCTTATTGCTATTTATTATAAACTGGTTACCAACGTCATTAGAGCAGTAAAAATACATGTTTTGTCATACCCCTGGCATAAGGTCTGATATACCACGGCTTTCAGCCAATCAGCATTCAGGGCTCGAACCACCCAGTTTATAATTTGCTTTATATCAACAGCATACAGAACTAATGAAACTGAAAAAGGTGGACTATCTTTACCCACAATGGGCCAAATATATTGTCATCTACCACTTTGATGGGTCCTACTCAAATTTCAGAGTTTCTTTCCTGTATCAGAAAGTGGGTCAAATATATATTCTTTGTGCCATTCAGCGTTTTTCAGATCGTTAGCTACACGTTGTTAACAATTTGTTACATTGTAACAAGTATGGAATTCCCAGTTGACCAATAACAGTATTTTTCCGGAAGTGATGTAGCTAATGTTGTTGTTCTATTCCAGGAAGAGAAGACGGGGATTGCGTTTAACATCGAGCAACTGCGTCAATAACAGTTTTGACGACTATCTTTGGTTTTCCTCTACTCTTCAGCATGGCAAATGGGTACGTTATCATTTTATGTGCTCTTGTCGATGAAAAATAACAACTATTGAAAAATGTATTCGTCTTGCCCTGGTAACTTGATATGATAGCTAACTAGCCAAAGGGTCCGTGCTAAAGCCAGGGCAGCAAACAGCTAGCTAGCAGGGTTGACGGACAACTCACGCTATTTTGGGAGGACATAGTACAAGGTTGGCTGAAGTCATTGCCCCGTATCACGTTTTCGAAAATGGTCATTAATCTCTGTTAAAGCTAGCTAGATACATAGCTAGCTATTGGAACAAGCTATCTAGGCTATCATTAGGGAGTTAGCTAGCATATGTTATCTAGCTAGCTAACTAGCCTAAACAAGTAACATTTTCGATTTACAGCAGAATGATAGCTTAACTACACGATTTAGCTAGGCCTTTTCTTTGTTTTGCCACATGGCTGTATTTATGTCTGGAATCTATCTAGCCATATAATACCTTCCCAGTTAATTCTAATGCCATTACTATACATTAACTAACGTCAGCTAGCCATAAAGTTACATCATTGTGTGATTAATTTGGCTCAAACACACTGGCTGACACACGCACTGTGTTGTCAACAATTCAGATAATTAATATTCATGTCACTCATCACAATCCGTATGATAAATGTATAATTTAAGTATAACCGTTTATTTTCTAAGTCCCATACAATTGGCATGTCGAACAATGCTCTGCTATTGTCTAGCAAATTGCATAATTTTGGAAATGATTTAGTACAAGCCTGTTTTTAGACATGACTTAGTATGAGAATAAGTGGTGCGTGTTGTTGGCGTGTTTTACCTAGATTACAACCTCCTGGACTGTGTTTTCTTTCTCTATTCACCAATGTTGTCTTAGATACTTCTCATGTGTACCATTTTCCTGAACACGTCACTGTGACTGAACAGAGAGACTGGACATTCCTGCTAATCATGTCTTGATCCTTAGGTCTGGCTTTATGTAGTGTTGTGGTGTCTCTCTTGTCATGATGCGTGTTTTGTCCTACTATTTTTTTTCATACATTTTTTATCCCAGCCTCAGTCCCTGTAGGAGGCCTCTTGGTAGGCCATCATTGTAAATAAGAATTTGTTCTTAAGTGACTTGCCTAGTTAATAATTTTTAAAAAGAGCCTACATACCTTTATTAGACTTTTAGCTAGGGTTCAGTGATATAACTTTTATCTGTTGAGAATGAGATCGAGGACAACATTTTTACACAGGTCCTTTGACTGTTGAAACTTCTTTCTCATTGCAACAGTGTGGAAAGTAGAAACACTTATCTTGTTTCAGGGAAAATGCTGACGGATTTGGTGGCAAGAGGAATTCATCAGCACATTCAGGCTACAGTTTAGGCCAGACTAAATCTATACCCTTTATAGTGCACTATGGGGATTAGCATTTGGGACGCATCTCATTAGTAACAGTAGTTAAACCCTCAAAGGAGTCACAAATTCTGAACCAACAGTGACATTAAACTTTCTCTCACTGTGGTCACTGATCAAGTCCTTTGTCTAAATATACCGACAACCTTTAGTTTGGTTCTTTCCTCAGAGGTCTCAGTGGATGTTCCATCTGGAGGCCGTACCTGGATTACTGTGATTACTAAATAAGAACAGTCTGATTGAGATGGTATCCTTGCTGCTTTGTGTGAACCAACCACACTGCAAAGCTAAATGCAGGAAGAACACCCAGTCCTAAGGAAGTTGAATTGCATTTTTAGATAAGATCTTTGTTGGTACATTTAGATTACATTTAACATTTTAGTCACTAAGCAGACACTCTTATCCAGATCGACTTATGTTGTTGGTGTGTTGAACTTTCCACTTGTTGAGTAATTGATTTGCATAGTTTAGTGAAGAGCTGGGGAACAGACCAGAACAGACCAACCCTTGTGAACTCTAGTCAGGGATGATGAGCGTGTCATAGTCATGCACACCACGCCAACAACAGTAGTCATATACACCACGCCAACAACAGTAGTCATATACACCACGGCAACAACAGTAGTCATATACACCACGGCAACAACAGTAGTCATATACACCACGGCAACAACAGTATTCATGCACGCCACGGCAACAACAGTATTCATGCACGCCACGGCAACAACAGTAGTCATGCACGCCACGGCAACAACAGTAGTCATGCACGCCACGGCAACAACAGTAGTCGTGCATGCCACGGCAACAACAGTAGTCATGCACGCCATGGCAACAACAGAGTAATGAGCCTTAACTGAATGTACCAGACTAATAGGCCCACTGTCAAATCACATTTTATTGGTCACATATACGTGTTTAGCAGATGTTATTGCGGGTGTAGCGAAATGCTTGTGCTTCTAGCTCTGACAGTGCAGTAATATCTAACAATTTCACAACATATACCCAATACGCACAAATCTAAGTAAGGAATGAATTAAGAATATATACACTACCAGTCAAAAGTTTGGACACACCTACTTATTCAAGGGTTTTTCTTTATTTTTACTATTTTTTACATTGTATAATAATAGTGAAGACATCAAAACTATCAAATAACACATATGGAATCATGTAGTAACCAAAAAAGTGTTAAACAAATCAAAATATATGTTATATTTGAGATTCTTCAAATAGCCACCCTTTGCCTTGATGACAGCTTTGCACACTCTTGGCATTCTCTCAACCAGCTTCATGAGGTAGTCATCTGGAATGCATTTCAATTAACAGGTGTGCCTTCTTAAAAGTTAATTTGTGGAATTTCTTTCCTTAATCCGTTGGAGCCAATCAGTTGTGTTGTGACAAGGTGGGGGACGTGTACAGAAGATAACCCTATTTGGTAAAAGACCAAGTCCATATTATGGCAAGAACAGCTCAAATAAGCAAAGAGAAATGACAGTCCATCATTACTTTAAGACATGAAGGTCAGTCAATACGGGAACATTTCAAGAACTTTGAAAGTTTCTTCAAGTGCAGTCGCAAAAACCATCAAGCGCTAT